CTTTCCAAGTCGCTCCTGAACACAACTTGATATCATCAATCCATCTATCGTCTGTGCAGGAGAGTTTGAAACGTTTCGCGTGAGCTGTGTGCGGGTCGTCAGGATGGCCAAGCGGTCTAAGGCGCCAGACTCCAGGTGAGGAAACTTTCTGTGAACAACGTGGGGACATTTGGGCTCCGAATGACGGAGTCGGTTCGAAACCCACTCCTAATATCACACTTTATACATTTCATGCAAAATAAGCTGAACATTTTTTTCATTGAATAACAGCTATCATCATCCCATTCCTCATCCATTGCCTATGAACTGCTGGTTGTCTTAACATGTTTATAAATGTAAAATTGACTTAATTTGTTGTGTTGAATGTGAGTTTAATTCCAGTTGCATCTTTCCACAAAACTACTCTTAAAATAATATAACGTCAGGAGTGGGGTTCGAACCCACACCCCGATTCAGAGCCCAGATGTCCCTCGTTGCGCAGAGAAGGCTTCCTCACTTTGAGTTTGGCACTTTAGAACACTCGGCCATCCTGACCACAAGCACCAACCTGAGCATTTGTTCATTAGTGGGTACACTACGATATTCTGGCCATTTGTGAATGAGTTCAGCAGACAGACGTAGAACTAAACGGTTATAACCATAAACACAGGCATACTCAAACTCAGGTATTCGCAAACTCACCTCGAAATTAAAGGGCAATACACGGTTTTCCCCATCGCGAATAAACTCTGCATCACATTTGGCACAGACATAGTAACGAAGTTTATATTAAACTATTGTAATCCAATGGAGTTATGTCAATGGAATATGAGTGTATTCACCCCACACAGACGGAAAATTTATTTGAGTTATCCAGTTTCCTCCCACGTAAAGTAAAACACTCACGAATGATATTGTCCAAACACTTCAACGTTGCGGAATTCTCCTGGAAAAGCGTTACGAGACTCGTTATCGAGGCTATCCCCGAGTAAATAACAAAGGAAAAAGCGCAGCCATGCAATTGCCCAGATCACGGCTGGCAGAAGGTCTTCCACTAGAGGGATCTCTACAGAGCCCTCTGTAAAGGGTATTTGGCCTACTCTTTCACGCTGGTCAGACGTCGTGGAAGAGACGTGGGAGTACCCAGACGAGTAAATAAGTGACACCATTATTCCATTAATTGCACTCACTCAAAAGTGGCCAGGAAGTGACAAATGGATGTGGCGCGCAGGAAAAGTTAAAGATTGGCGTCAAAGATACAAACGAAATCATCCTGAGGCGACGGCGGTGGTGGCGTCAGCCACTCCAACACCCACCCCTCCCCACCGTAACAACAACCACCCGTGACAACCACCCACTACCCCCCACAGCCCTCCATCGCCACAAACCACCACCCCCCCTCCCTGCCCTGTGTGTGTGTGCACCACAGGCCATTAGCGGTAGGCGAGTCAGCAGGCCAGGCTGTCGGGTGATTTAGGTGGTTTAAGATGCAGCAGTTAAGGAGGCATTAGGACAATTTACGAGCTTGAAAATGTCAATTTTGTTTCAGCTATTGGGCGTTCCAACCCTGGACATTAAACAACTCATAAGTCACAGTGCGGGGTGCGTGTCATGCACACAGTTTTAAGTTTAAGCCGCCCCTCGTCCAACCGAAGAAAAAAATCTCAATAATGATAGTACAGTCGTAGTAATAATAATTATACTCTGTAAGTGTTTTCGGGTTGTACAGCATGTTGTTCGGCATGATGTCCAACGTTTCCCTCCAAGTTCTGGGAGCTTATTCAGTGCCTTCAGTTCAACTGAGGAGACACTCCTGGGCACGTGGGGCGGCCGTTTCTCAGTTCCTGAAGAAGCTCTCTTGGCGCAGGGCGAACCGTCGGACGCCGAACAACAACGTCTTCTATCTTCTATGCTTAAGCATTATTTTATTTCCATTCTACGTGACTTCACCGAAAGAACCAAGAAGATGAATCCCTGCAGTCACGAAAGCTTTAAATCGAAGGTCTTCTATGTTTTGGTCATGAGGGTTGGTTCGACCATACTTGACCACGTTGGTCATTGCAGTGAAGGTCGTGGTCCACCCTAAATCGCATCCCCACAAACCGTGGCAGATGCGGATACCCAAATGGACAAATGGAAAATAAAAAAAACTCTCCGGAATGCGACTATGGTCACCCAGAACGGACCGTACAACGTGTAACGACGCAATGGCCGATCCACAAATACGAAGGAGACATCACAGCAATCCACTGTTCCGCTACTGCTCCTGATGCGGTTGTCTGGCTTGACCACCTGAATACCAAACTGTTGTTGTTGCTCTGCATCTACATCAGCCATACGAAAGAAGAGAAAGTGCAGGTAGAAGATAACAATTTAACCCAATATGCTTTTTGGAGATGTAAAAGTGACCTCAAACATTGATGTCAGTAAGATGTGGAATTCGAAAGGGCTGACTTCGCATTTGAGTGCAGCTGCAGCGCCCGAGACAGCTCGGACGCGGACATCAGCATCGCCATGGACTCGATTAGTGGTTGGGCAAAGCGTGGGTACACTTTCGTTGTCAGGCCATTGCGGAAGAGTACAGAATAAAGGCGTAAGTGTTCCACGGTTAAAATCACAAACCCGACAGTCCCCAAACTACAATGCTCACGATCCGCCACGATCTTGCCTGTCCGCGTTGAACGCTCAAAGCACACATCTCCGTTGAAATACAAAGTAATTATTTACACGCTGCACGTGCCTGATGATTTGTAAAGGGAAGAAGGGTGAGTTGAACACGTTGGCTTTCGCGACCAATATCCATAATACAGGGTTTTTTTTTTTTGGGGGGGGGGGGGGGGTTAGATCGCGTAAATATCTAAATGTGTCGTTAAACCCTCCACCACCCGTGGCGGGTTTGGCTGAGTCGGGTGGTGGCGGGTTTAACGACATTACGCGATCTAACCTAACAAAAAAAAACCTGTATTATGGAAGGGTGATCACTCAGAAGTCGGGGTTTGTTTGGATGTGTACATTTACAACTGTGTTATAACACGCAGGCTTTCGGTTTAAAAGGTAGGCTTTCGTGATCAGCACGTGTCGTTTAACGTGACGAATCTCACAAATCGGGTGGTGGTGGGTTCACGACACATTCAAATTCACGCCATCTAACCCCACAAGAATACCTTCACAGCACTAGGAACTGTGTTAGTTTTTAATACGCTTTCGCGACCAATATTTTCCAATAATAGAGGTGTATTGGGTTCGATCGCGTCAATATAAATGCGTCGTTGAACCCATTACCACCAACCCGACACAGACAATTAGTAAAGGGTTCGTCGCGTAAACAAAACGTGCCAATAATGCGTTACTCGGTCAGCACACCAGGCTGTGTTGTTAGAGAGTAAGCCCAAACACCACCTCGCTTCTATACTCTTTGGTTCTTTCGGTAAAGGCACGTAGGTATAAATAAAATAAATCACGACGTTTCGATCACGTAGGTAGAAATAAAATAAAACAAATCACGACGTTTCGATCGCTTGTGTTGCGATCGAAACGTCGTGATTTGTTTTACTTTACCGAAAGAACCAAAGAGTATGGATTCCTGCAGTCACGAAAGCTTCAAATCAACACCTCGCTTCATGTTGAACTGTTACTGGTAGGAACGAAGTTGTAAACTGAGTGTACCAGCCTGCAATAGATTAATGTGTCCGTCCGTCCGTCCCCTTTCAATACTTTAACGAAGTGAAATCTCGTGTTGTTGGGGTGTAAAAATACAATTTCGCAAAATTCCAATGTTCCTACCAGCCCACCCTGCAGGGACCTGTTATACTGGTAGGAACGAAGTTGTAAACTGAGTGTACCAGCCTGCAATAGATTAATGTGTCCGTCCGTCCGTCCCCTTTCAAAAGCCCCATACTACCGTATACCGGGAAACAATTCCTCATTTTAAAATGCAATTGTTGTCATTTTTCGGCCCAGCCCTTAACGATTTTATTATACATTGCTCCAAAATGAGCAGATTTCAGTCAATAAGGATTTCACCATTCCATTTCTCTACAGAGGTTAATTTGTCCGAAGAACCCTCAACGATTTTGAGGGCAAAAAGGTGGGAAGACGCTCTCAATTTGCACAATTTTACGTAATAATGTCATAAAATTGCGCAAAATTACAATGTTCCTACCAGCCCACCCTGCAGGGACCTGTTATGTGAACATAACCACATCGCCACCTAGCGATCAATATATATACAGACTTTTAACGAGGCCTTTTACAATTGGACCCCAGGAGTCAATTAAATTCAGGCTAGCACTGTGCATACATTTGTACAGAACTCATACCTGTCAACCCATACGGTTTAAACACCGTATTCTTGTACCGAAAGAACCAATAATATAAATAACAACGTGTCTATTTGTGTTTCTCCTTTGTGATGGGACTTTGTAGGATGAACGTTGAGATTTTTAAGGGGCACGGTGGTGACCAATAAGGTCAGAATTGGTTTGTAATAAGGTAGAGGGCACTGATAAGGCATGGAACTGAACATCGAAGCGACGCAACTGCGTTGATTAAAAGCACAGTCTTGGGTCACCCATAGACGTTAAACCCTTTGTGTGTACAGAATGGTGGAGTTCGGAGCGTTAATAATAATAATAATCATTTTAAAAAATCGCAACGTCGTTCGGTATTGTCGCCATCGTTATAAATAGTGGCAACGCTTTATCGTGAAGTCAAGCCTCGCTGGATTGACAGGCGGCCTTCATCCAGCGGTGGATTGAATGATCGACAAGTACGTGCGGTTAATGCAAACTTGATTCCTTGCAACAAAAAAAAGGTTTCCCACTCGGTGTTCGAACTACCTCAACACCTCCTGTTTTATTGCCGAAAAGGGTAACCGCTGATTTAAAAAAAAATAGATATATTTTTTTAAATTTCAAACGGCCGACGTCAGCCCCCGAGCCTCTTCTTGTTCGACGACTGTCGCAGTGTCGCGAGAGAGGCGCGATGGTTATATGGCCACCGGACGCCGCTCGTTGTTGGAAGTCAGAATGGCCGAGCGGTCTAAGGCGCCAGACTCAAGGCGAAACTGAAGCCTTCCGTGCCTCAACGCGGGAAATCTGGTCTCCGAATGGAGGCGTGGGTTCGAACCCCACTTCTGACAAGACTTTTTATTTTTTTAGTTTTTGCGCGTGTTATTAGAACGGTGCTTTTGTTTCGCGGCCGACAGCGCGAATCGTGCCTCGAGTCCGTTTGTGCTACAAAAAAAACATAAAAAGCTAACAGCTCGTCGTCGCCGATGCCTCTTTCGACATCGTTTCAAAAACATTGGGGACCTTCGCCGCGTGTTGCCGAGATAAAAGCTGTCACGCCACGTTTACACTGATAGGGGGAGATATTCTATGGTGTGACCTGTTGCTACGTGGGTGTGTATCGCCACCTTCTGGTCACGCTAACTCAGCAACGGTAGAATAATGTACGGTCGTTCGTCTAAAGAGGCTTTCTCAGGTCATGTCAACACGACAAACCGAATATTCACAGCTGTATCTGCATAGCTGTCAACCGCTGATCAGTGCCTACCTGATTACAGACCAATTCCGACCTTACTGGTCAACCCCGTGCCCTTATACATCTCAACGTTCATCCTACAAAGTCCATAAGATATTTTTTGGGTTAGATCGCGTAAATATAAATGCGTCCAATCTGAGTACGACGTTTCGCCATTAGCTACATTAGGCAACAACCAGATTTGTGCAGAAATCCTCCTGTTTCATTCCTTAAATAGAGTGATAGATGTGATGACATTACTTTTGAGTCCTTCACGTGCGAACGGGGGGGGTAAATGAATGTACATAAATTAAAAGGGAGAAACACAAACAAGTAGACAACAAATATTTGTTGTCTACTTGTTCCCGTATTGAAACGGCTGTACGCCGTATGGACCTGAAAACTAAATATCCCTGTACAAGAATACAGAGTAAACCGTATGGGTTGACACGGTATGTATCTCCAATAGCCATGAAAGGATGAAGGCCGGGATGAAGGCCTTCTCACACCATCGGCATCTCTCACAATCCTGTGATGCCGATGGTATGAGCACAACGAAATTATTTAATTGCTGCAACTCTTCACAGCACCTCCATTCTGTCCTTCCATACATACGTAACTTGTTTACATCTATGGGGTTCCCATATCTGTTTTGGTTCCTAAAACCCACAAGCCTGTGTGTACAGGAATGAGTTCTTATGACGAGTGAAAAATCATTATTTTATCATGCGATTGAGACATTGCTGACAAAAATGAAAAAAAAAAGTTGCAGCATATTTATGTTCAGCTCATTATCAATCCCCTATCACATCGTTTAGTGATGGAACTGCAGTTCCAGTTTAATGGCAGTGTAGGAAAACAAACCACATTGTTATATTCCACTTGTGTGTTCCCACGCCTATGCATTAAACCTTCGACCAATCCGCACTGATCAGCAAATAACCGCGACAATCTGCACGGCGTGTGGAGGACCCTCCTTCCGCAGTGGATTGACAAAGCACATGTACATGAGAACTGTGGTAATACGTGTGTGTGTGTGAACTTACAATGAAAAACAATGTGCCCTTATAAAAATGAACGCTTTATGTTCTCCAGTAAGCTACGACCTGGTGGTGAAACGCATCAAGAAACACTGCATTCTTTCCCTTTGCAGGCAATTTGAGGTGACTGCTATGACCCGGCCTTATTCTTCATTGCCTGCTGCCTGGGCGCCCACGCATCCCATCGCCAAAATAGCATCAGCATGTGGTCGGCGAGCGAGCCTGTGAAGGGAATTTTCATAGGATACGCGTGGGATGAGGGAGACACAGCTCATTGTCTCCCTTAGCAGCAGAGCCAACGAGAGAGAGAGAGAAAAAAAATAACTAACTCGTTTTCTGAAAGTGTCAGCAGCTAAGCTCACGTTTGTGATCATGTTTAACGTTATCATTGTTTTAAAGCCAAGATTGAATGACTTGAAGAATTTTGGGAAAAGTGTTTGGTGGTATAAAAACGTATTGCAAAAGTGAATACGTCGTTTTTTTGCCACCGATTTTTGCATTATTGTGTGGGCGCTGCAAGCGGCTGCTTTATGGCTTTTGAATGTTGTATGGCAATTATATACAGTCGTATAATAATGCTTAATGGCGCAGTCATTATGAAAATAAAGGTTTCTTATTTCAAGTAGGCCCTCCACTGGGATGTCGGGACAATTCCAGTACAGTCTACACATATAGACAAATAAGTCGATACAGAAATAGAAACGTCGATTGCAAATGAAAACGTGCTATTTTAAGAGAAGACGTTTGGGCTCTTGGTGTGGAATTTTAGTTTATGCCCAACGCACAGAGACCGACATTTTACAAATTACCAAAAAAGCATCCGTGTCGGTATATCGATCATGGTGGTAACGTCGCAGATAAGCGGCGAAACGAGTTTGTGAACACCCCCGGCGCACAGTTCTGTAATACTAATAGCCTGCCATAAATAATCCTGGCCAGGCGGGCAACGCTTCAACGACTGCCATTCCCCCATTCTTGGGATGCTGCTCCACAACGCGACGAACCAATGCAGTGGCACTGCACGCATGGCGCATTTAATGGATGCGTGTGTGGGACGTGCCTCGTTTTCATAAAGGCGCAGGGATGGCGCATTAATTAAATGAACATTTAACCAAACGAAAAAATGGTACGTATTTATATTTCAGCTGCCGTAATATTCTAACACGATTGTACCCATGCACGATGTTGACTTTGCTGCAATGGTGATTCCTAACCTTATTCACTATTCATAACAATTACTCCAACCTTATCTGCCCTTGGCTCTAAAACTATTGCTTTTAATTGCACAAGTACTAACCATAAGACTACAAATAAAAAAAATCACTCCCTTACTTGCCTGCGATTATGATTATCTATTAGGAATTCTCTAACACTGACAATATCCTAAATACTGTATCGATATAACTCTTTGTAACTAGTGGATTTTGCTGTAGCTAGCTCAATTCATAACTCAAATGCTATTCTTGTCTCTAACTAGAAGTGTAACTGCGTTGATGAAATGTTGATTCTCCAAAATGTTATTTTAAAAAACAATTGTTTACCAGAAACATGACCCCGAATCGGAAAAAATGTGGAATCGCCGAATCATTCATTATACCTTTAATGCCTAACATCGTTAACTTTTAACTTACCCACAATAATAATTATAATCTGAACACCATTGCCAAACCGACGAGCTATGCGAAATTTATTTCTAGTAATGATATCGATGTCCCTTTTGTTGTATTTTGGTGCCTCCTGGTGGAGGGAGATGTGAAATACAGAGAACGCGTCTACAGCCAGCCTGTGATTGAAAATCTTGTCCGTCACTGCCCCTTCGAAACATAACACTTTTACAGATACACTTCTGCACTAGGATAATAATTTATAGCCCTTTGCTAACCCACCACTGAATTAAGACAAGCATTAGCATACCGTGTCAATCCATACGGTTTACTCCGTACTTTTGCACAGGGAAATTGAGTTTTCAGGTCCATACGGACACTTTTTGTTAATGTATTTGTCTATTTGTTTGCGTTTCTCCCTTGTGATGGGACTTTGTAGGATAAACGTTGAGTTTTATAAGGGGCACGGGGTTACCAATAGGGTCTAAATTGGTCTGTAATAAGTAAGGTAGGCCACTGATAAGGGATTGACATGCATGCATTAGCGTTACACCATTGTGGAAAACTGAAGTTGTGGAACATAAAGTTGCAGGTTGTTCTTGTGTTAATATGGGAACACTGAAGTGCATATATATAATGTAACCAGCCACTAGTACTCTACAAGCACTATTGATTCGGCAGCAAGACCATTGTATGTTTAACCTCAGACATATATCTATAACGACCCGATGATTGGGGTATAACGCAATTAACAGTGTGTACGGTTTAGATTGCTTATTGTGATGTAAGTATGCAAAGGTTTCAGTGAACACTCCTCAATGCGAATGGCATTCAGTAAAACCATAATGGTGTAATGTTTTTGGAGGGAGGATTTAAAACCACCTCAAAAACATAAATTAATACAGCAAGATAACGGCTAGTAGTTGTAAAGTTTAACCATTACCATCTTACATTTAAAGTTTATTTCGTTCAATATATACGGTCCACCTAATTCATGTTAACAGGCTTTGTGTTTGATCAGCACATATGGTTTTGCATATAGAGAATGTCTTGAGTCTGCCTTTATCTTGCGGGTAGATCAATGGATAAAAGTGTGATAAGATACAACCGATAATACTACAAAACCGTTTCGTGTTGACTGAGAGTCGCCCACAACGGGATAACCATAAACTTATGCCCAATGTTGTGTTTAACGTGGACTAATGTACATTCAAGGGACCTTCCACGTTAAACGTGTGAAGGACGCTCGAACAATCTACAAACACTCACGTACGCGTTACCTATATCGTCTAACGCGTAGCTTAACGTGTTTTAAAAGTTATTCTTCTAAACCGTCTTTGCAAGAGTAACTGTCACGCAACATCGTACTCGTACTGCAATTCGCATAAGTGCCTAACCAATACCTCACAAACTTACAGCCTTACGTTTACCTCAAAAGAAAACTTTCGCTCAGCCGTTTCGACGCAACTTTGAATCAACTAAATAAACTCTCCGTTTGGATTGCGTTAATGTTTCGGATAAACACAAAAACGTGACGTTGAAAGAAACCTGGAGAATACAATCGCATTTTATCGATTTTGTTTGCGTACAAAGGGGGGGGGGGGTGGCCTGTAAATAATTTTATAGCGAGGGAACACCTCGACGTTTGTTCAATGTTCACAGCGGGATACGGGACGCTAAGCGTCTATCAATTCCCGATTTGGTGTTTTCTCGAGCTGCTTTCTAAGAATCCACACGATTAATACGATATTAACACGACGCAGTACCGTGGTGTGCACAAACGCACACGATAACGTTTCGTCTCTCGCACGCGTACATACATAAACAGTATCAACACATCTGTAATACAGTGTTTTTTTGGGATAGATCGCTTAAATATATAAATGTGCCGTTAAACCAGCCACAACCAATTAGTAAGGTTTGTCACGTTAACGAAACATGCCAATTCGTTACTAGTACAGCAACACCGGTGTGTTGCGATAACAAAGCCGCAACATTTACATTCTGAGTACGACGTTTCGCCAGCAATTGAAACTAACTTCATCAGGCGACAGAGAGATTTTGTGGAGAAATCCTCCTGTTTTCGTTCCTTAAATAGGGAGGGGGCGGGCGGGTTGTAGACGTGATGGCAACACCGTCTTGTGAGCACAACCTGCTACGTTTGAAGCGGCGTTAAACTTCCCCTCACAGCGTCGTCGACCCGGGGGGAACTTTTGGCGCCAAAAAAAACGAATGGGACAAAGGGGAGGGGGAGCACCTTCCCCCCCGCGGCTTGCGTAGTTTTTTTCCCGCGCTTTTTCCTTCGGTTTCTTACGCGCCCGCGCGACCGTTTGCCCACCCCCTCCCTCCCACTTCAGACCGCCCGGCGGCGCGCGAGCCAATTGGGCGAGCGCCGGTTCCCGTCCCCACCCCCCACCTCCCCCAATGCAGACGCCGGCCAACGGCGAGCGGCGCATCCGATTCAAATGCGCGCGCGAGCCAATGGGGCCGCGGCGGCGGCTTCGCGAGCCAATGGGAGCGCGCTCCATCGTCGCTTATTGCGCCTTCGTTGAGCGCCGCGAGCTGCCATTGCCTCCGCCGTTGCACGGTACCGCGCCAGCGTTAAGCGAACCCAAGTGGCGGGTGAGTCGAGTGTGGCCGCGGTTTAGTTACGGGGTGGTGTGAGGGGGAGGGGGGGGTACAAGGTGGGTTTTTTTTGTAATTTTTTATATCGATATAGGCTGTCGCGCCCCGCCGTTCTCTTTCGTTTACTCCGTCGTTCGTTTAACTTCGTACGCTGAATTTAGCCGCGTGTCGGCGGGCGAGCGAGAATGCCGTGATCGGCCGTCTCTCCTTTTTTCTCTCGCTCGCAAATCAACGCGGGGCGGCTTGCGCTTCCCCCCCCGGTCCGTTGCCACTGCGGGCGGCGTAAGATGGCGGCGACGGTCTGCGCGGTCGCGTTCGCCCCCTTCTTCGCCGCGTTCCCGCGCGCTTTTCTCGGGTTTCGCGACGGCGAACCGGCCCCGGATTGACGGCGGCCCTCGCGTTGGAATGTACCGCGCACGATGGCTCGGCTTTTGAGCGCGGTGCCATGGTAGGAATGAGCCCTCGAGGCGCGATTGCGCGAGGAGTAACTCCGTAACCCCTCGGCTGTGCAGTGTGTGAAGAAGGCGCTCGGCCATTTTGGGAAGGCGCGCGTTTCTTATTATCTTAATTTTGAGGTTCTTTTGTTAAATTACCGCGGGTTTCTCCTCGCTTGACGGGCTAAAAATCGTAGGGAAAAAAATCGGGGGAGCTATTCGTCGCTTAAGTCGCTGTTCTCCTTGGATGTGATGGCGTTTTTTTGGGAGCTGTAAGTGGATGGTTCTAAACCTTTGTGGGGGCCCGACGGCCGCTAAAGATGGAGTCTACGGTGCACGCATTTAAATGGTCTCGTTTATAAAATTGTAAATGTTTTACTCAAAATGTGGAGCCTCTATCGTTATTTTCTTTATTTGCAGTTATATACTTGGTCTTTGAATCTTTGCAGGTTTTTCCCCCGAGTGTTTTAATGGCGTGGTTTTTATTTCGCCTCTGTTTGAAAGGTGGCATCTGTTCAATTACAATTTGTTTTTGCTGTGGCATGCGTTGTTGCGTTGCAGTGGTAACTTTTGTGAGAAAACGTTTTAGAATCGAAAATATGGTTTTACTTAGAACTTTCACGTTGTTGAAGTATTATTGAACATTTGTGAAGCTTATGTTTTTAAATATTGTATGTTTATTTTAAAACACTAGTTGTATTAATGCATTTATATTTAAGTGTAACCATTTAAATATATGCGCTTTGAAATAGCGAGATGTGAAATTGCTGCGTGTTTTAAACCTACATTCTTTGTGTAATGTTTTTGACAATATATAAACAAACGAATTCAACGCGGATGGCGGGAATGATTAGAACCCCGCACATGACCCCGGACAAAGTTGAGCGAGGTTATCCCGTGGCGTATATTGTGTTTATTATACGAATTTTTGCCTTATGCTGTTTTTAAGGTTCCCTTAAATGGGGAGAGGAGGGGGGGGGTTGTTGTTTTAGGACCAAAGATTCGTGTTGTTCCTTTGAAATCCGCCCCTAGATTCGTGTTGTTCCTTTGAAATCCGCCCCTGGCAGGGCAGCGTGGTTGTTGCCTATTGTTAGCTGTAGTGGTGGTGGTTGGCCACCATCGCCATTGCAGGCGATGGCTTCCATTCATTCATTGATTTTTTTTTCGTTTCCCTTTCCCCCCGCATTATTAACGCCTCTGGTAGATGTTTCCATTTTGATGAACGCATCTGTAAACAAAAACAATTGTTTTGGTAATGCTGCATTTTGCATCTCAACCGAAATTTTATATTTAGTCTTGCTGTGGAGCACGCGCGTATTTAATTAACGAGGACGCCACATTTGATGTTTCCTTAAACGATTTATTAAGGGATGTGTAAATTCTACTGGGTTTTAGTAGACGATTATAGCCTGTTGTATGATGACGCAGGCATTCAAATGTCGCTTTCGCATTTTATCTTTAATTTGCAAGCCCGTCATAAATTCTGTCGAAATTAGTGTTGCATTGAATTGGCCTTAATTAGGTAGGATTGAAAAAAAGTGTATATATGCCCTGTCCTCTTTCACGTGATGGCATGAGCGATTTGCGCCTTTATTGTAAACCGAGATAAGTAGCACGCTCCTGTTTATTGTTAATATGCACTGGTGAATGAGGATATTTTTTTTATCAGTCATTTAAATTTGCTGGTTTAAGATTATAATTAACATAGTAACTAGTATTGCCTCCAGTACTTGTTTCGCCACTGGTAATTAATTGAATATGGCTATGACATAGTCACGCTCTGGGAATGTGAAACTCCTAACCCACAAAATTGTAATTTGGTAATAAATACAGAAATAGGCGTGCGTGTTGAGCAGTGGCTGGCCATGGACAATGTAAAATCTGCACGCATGATGGTAAACTGGTGTTGTTCTAGGGTACAGTACAAAAGCAGACTCTGCATGTCCGTCAAAATTGCCCCCTTACAGTTTTTCGCGTTATTCTCTGGGTGTGTGCTGTGTACTAATGCGACTGTAGATTGATTATAAAAAAGGTGGTAAATTAGTCTAGTTGCCTTGGATCTCATGTCACGATGTTGTGTGACTGCCGTGCTAATTGGTGAATACGGTCTTAGCATGGTTTATACGGGTAATGCAGTATCGTGTCATTCAACATTGCGGATTTTGGACGTGTGCGCTGATGTAACGCCCAGGTAAGACATTCTGAGATGTCAAGGTGGCCGATTAGTGATATATGGCATCCAAACGATTTGTCGTGTTAAATGGGATTAATAAAAAAAGGCCACGTTTAGCTAAAAGGCAAATCAATTAGCTAAATGTCTTCTACATAGATGTGCATCTGCATCATGAGGAATCCGAAAAAAAGAGTGGGGAATGTGAAAGTAATGCAGACATAACTGTTAATAGGATTATATATTGATTGCATCAAAATAGTTTTGGACGGAATGGAGACGGCTCAGTTATTTCGACAGCAATGCAGCTATTCATTTTTTGGGAACTTAACGTATATACTTGTGGGTATTCATTCACAAGACACATTGAAGAAGTTGAAAGTCGTGGCTCTGCCTTTACACCTCCCACTCGACTGATGTTGAGAATGTGGCGACTAGCAAGTGGAACCTAAAGAATCCCGCCTTTTATTACAAATTGGTTGCGTCTCGGTGCCAATTCCGTTGTCATTTGCGTCGCACATAAAACCAGCATGGACATTTTTACTTGTCAAACGCATTAATTGCCATAAATGTGTTGTGAGAAAGTGTGTAGTGGTCTATAGTGACTGTTGACATGTTTTGTGTTCTAGTGACAAAATGGGTAAAGGAGAGCCAGGAAAACCGCGTGGGAAGATGTCTTCCTATGCATACTTCGTGCAGACTTGTCGCGAGGAACACAAGAAGAAACATCCGGAGGCATCTGTAAACTTTGCCGAGTTTTCGAAGAAATGCTCCGAGCGCTGGAAGGTAAAGACGCTCGTGATGCCCTTTTGACATAATTCCCCACTCTTTTTTGGCAACTATCTATACTTTGGTCGCCTGTAAGTGGAGTTCGTTGACGAACATGGATCTCTTATTATTTTGCCTTGCAGACGATGTCTCCAAAGGAGAAGGCGCGTTTTGAGGAAATGGCTAAGGCTGACAAGGCACGTTTTGACCGGGAGATGAAAAATTACGTTCCGCCTAAGGGCAAGAGGAAGACGAAGGACCCTAATGCACCCAAGAGGCCCCCGTAAGTCCTGCGGCATCCTGTTTTGTGGTGTTTTGCCGAGAAAGTGGCCTTGTCACTGTGGTTTTTAAATGTTAATTTTTTTTTCCCATTACCTTCCACTGCGCTGTGGCCCCTCGTTAAGCAGTGGATTTACGAAAGGGCTTTGTGTGTACTTCGTTGCATCTACTTCTCATAGCAAGTCTTAAGAATTGCTATTTCACACAACCCACAAAGACACTAATGTGATTGCGTACAAAGTGAGTGCTATTGTGCTGTGCAATTTAATCCGTGGCAGTGAAAGCGTATTATGTTGAGGCTGTCTAGAAACCTTGTATGTGTTAGTAATTGGCTTGTGAAATCGTCGTAGCTTTTAAAGCGGATGTGGTCGACGGAAAAGATTGGTCCAAGTTTGCCAGGTGAGTGGTTGGTCTAACACATGGTGGCCCGATTGCCGTGTTTGTGCACAGATCTGCATTTTTTGTGTTCTGCTCGGAGCACCGGCCCAAGGTGAAGGCAGATCACCCCGGCCTGGGCATCGGTGAGATTGCCAAACGGCTGGGAGAGATGTGGGGACTCCTCACGCCCGAGACTAAATCTCCGTATGAGAAGAAGGCTGCCAAGCTGAAGGAGAAGTATGAGAAGGTGAGGTTTCTAATGAAATGATAGCGAGTTGTTTGTTGCAGTGGAAATGTGTGGGGAGCTGAAGGCCATTTAAAATAACCTAATGAAATTGATAGCAAGTGTGATACTTAAAAAAAACAATTCTTGCATGCAGTTTTAGTCCCAAATTACAGATGTGTTTATTCCACACCTTGGAGTATTGGTAAAGTCCTGCAGTATGTGCGGTGTATCTGGAAATGCACACTTGTTGGGCAGCTAAAGTGTGCCAGTTGGCAAAGCAGCTGTCATTTTGAAGTTTACTTAAGTTGGACAAGTGAGAGCACAATGGATCTCTTATCTAAAGGGGGCGACAATAGCGTCTAGTCGTAATATAAATGGTGAGTTTATGTATTGAAACAGGAACCAATTTGTATTTTCTAAATTTGCTTGAACATTTAGCATTCCTACAGGGAAGTAAATACATTAAATGTTGACAAATCTTTTAGGCACATCTCCCAAATGAATGCATTAATCAGTGCATGCATGCTATTTGCTTCTCATGAGCCTTAAAACACATTCATTCAGAGCTCGGTTATGTTGCTAATAAAGGTGAGATGAGTAACAAATCAGTCGCGTGGCATTTAAAATGGTCCACGATTATTTTATTTACGTGGCACGATTGCACGCTTGCTTGTGGTGCCATGTGTCTTGTCCATGTTCCGTCCTGTAAGCGCGAGTGTTCTGTTTCTCAGGACGTGGCGGCGTACCGCGGGAAGGGCAAGGCTGCACCCTCCAAGGCTGCACCCGAGGAAGATGATGATGAGGAAGATGAGGAGGAGGAAGATGATGACGATGAGGATGATGACGAGTAGGCTGACAGCAGCAAAAGGAGTAAAACATCCTCGGTGTAGGGATGTATAAAGGCTTCGCTGGCAGGCGCTTACATTGATAGTTTTTTTTAAGGAGGTTTGGAGGGAATTTATTCAGTTTGGGGGGATGGGGGGGTCCGTTATCCCACAACGTAAAAATAAAATGTGAAGTCTATTACATTTGCCCGTGGCAGAATCCCAGCTTTGACATAATTGATGTAATAGTTCAAGGGCTTTGGTGTTGGTTAATGGGCACTACTGTGCTGCATTTGAGAGCATTAAACTGTTGGATATTTGGAGCAAAATAGGAAACTCAGTTTGGTTTGATAGGACAGGGATGTTTATTGAATTAACAAATACTTCTTAAACCTCCTTTATAATTGTGTAAATTCAATGTCTGTACAGTCAACTCAAGGCCCGCTCCATATTTCTTCAAATAGATTTGGTGTTGGTTTAATTGAACTAAGATGTAACCTCACGACCTTGTTGACCAAGAACTACAGATGAATGACAACTGAAATGTAGTAATGAAATACTTGTGCGAGTGTATCTTATAACACTTTATTTGCATTTGGTTAAGAATTGGTGATGCATTACTTTCGAGTGGGACACTTAATGTCAAGTTGATGTAGGATAACTCTGAAATTACTTTCATATTGGCCAATTATGATAACGTTTTGCCCATTTGAAAGAAGAGTACTGCTTGGTTGAAAGGAAAATTTAATATTTGTATGTGGCAGAGTGTAGACTTGGTTAGATTGAGACCTGCTTTTGATTTTTTTTTACCTAGGTTTGAGACTACAAAAGCATAATCTGTATTGAGAAATTGCCACTTTGAAAAAGAGAAAAAAAATTACCTTCCCACTATGTACAGTCTGCTTTTGTTACTTTGTGGCTTGTAATACATTTTTTTAGCCTGGGGTTTTTGTCTGCTTTGAATATTAACCTTGTAGGGTGAATTTGTTTCACATATATTCTGATGAAAGTTGTCCATTTATCTTGTCTGTTGGACTTGGTAAAATTCTGTAACTTTTAAGCAACAATAAAATGGTCTTTTTTTACAACATTGTCCATCCTCTTTGCTTGTGGTGGTGTTGTAACGGTGGTGATAGGTATTTAAGGTGCAGCATGAATGTGATCATTTGGACAGCATCAAGGAAATTTACTTTTAATGATAAAATACTTTACAAATGATGCAACATACAGACATTTCAAACTCTCAATGTTCAGTGTGCTTTTATGCAAATCATGGTTATTTCTCCAAACGCAGAAAAGGGTTGATGGGTTAGGTATGCTGTGTAAAGCTTTGGTATGCCAACATTAAAGAACCTGGAGAGCTGTAACTTCGAGGGGAACATGACCTTAATGTGCCTTTTTTTAGAAGGCACGCGCAGCTTAACATAGTACTTCAGGTCATGTAGTTGCGAGAATGAAAACCGCAAGTTATCAAATCTTTGCATGGGTTTTACTGATGGGAGACGAAGGAAATTTAATTAACACAATTTCATCTGGCACTACCATTTTTTAAGTCCTGCAAAATATTGAAATCTTTAACAACCCAAGTACAATAGCAACACGTTCTTGCATATACAACAGTACCATGAAATTGGCACATTCTCACGATTCACTCTGAACCGTTATCGGTGTCTTCACAATAAGTTGTGGGAAGCTGTTGACGTTGCATGCCTAATGAGCAAAGGTGCTCGACATTGGCCCTACGTTACAATGTGACATAAATTATAGTCGAGTTGTTGCACGTTTCCATTGAACCTTTCTGGAGAGTTGTAAATAATTCGAGCTCGTGTGCTGATCAAAAACTTGGCGTTATCGTGAACGACAACTTTTGACGTTTTGAAAAAGAAAAGTATTGGTTCAAAGTACTGCTTTGCACGCATGTTTGATGAGCATAGTTATTTGGACTGCAGATTTTTTTTTGTTCCAGCCAAGATTGTGCTGCCCGCACTTGATTTGCAGTTGATTAAAGCAACACTGTGGCCACCGTGACCAGTTTGAACTTTGTACGCATCCCGTTTGTCTTTGCGAGGCTGGAAACATTTTGCAGGCACTTCCAAACAAATGCCACTCGGGTTTTCCTTACTGAAAATCTGATCTTGTGAGGTGATTATAATATATTGTATTTCGCAATTCGTGATATGCTTATACATGTTTGCAGTTTCCATGTCATGAATTGGAAGGTCCATCTTACTAAAGTTATAATTCTAAAACTATCTTCACACCGGTCGAATTTGCAACTGAATATAAAAAACCCTATTTTTTGGTATTACATTTTATATATTATTGTCTTCTCCAAATGTGTACAATGATGATGCATAGCTTGCATATTTGTGTTAATTCATAGTGACTTCCCCTGGTGATCCTAGAAAATGAAGCTGAAATGAAACCAAATTTTTTTATCTTCCTGCTCAAGTGAATACTGCACCATGCATTGTCTTCCTCAGGTATGGTGTGTGTGGCATTATTGAAGTTCTTAACACTGCACAAAATCCGCGAGCTTGATTGGACACCACGTACAATCCTCGGTAAAATGCATCCCTGCAGTCGGTAGGTACCATGTGTCGTCAAATAACCCACATGGCATGGGGAGGCCATCATGCAGCAGTGGATCGATGAAGGGCTGTACGTGTACATGTGCAATGGTGATTGTATTTTACGGTCAATTCCATCTCGCACGGTCGCAACACGTCCTTTCGTCTTGACGCAGACGTGGAGATTGTCGACTTCATAAGTAAGAGTTCGTGCGTCCGTGTGCAACAGCTCCGTGACATTTTCCATCGGGCAAAATATTTTTGTTTTATATATAAAAAAAGAGGCTCGTTTGCTCACTTCAGGAATTCCAATTCCTGAACACCGTTGACGTCGCAGCACCTGGGAGCGGTGACGGTGTGCGTGACGGTTCGGACGTACAGCCGACCGCTGCACCGTCGTGCAGCCCGGCGTTCCGCACGGTTGCCTTGTCACAACTTGCCCACAACTCCTCGGTCGGTCATGAGGCTCGCTTGTATCTCTTTTTTTTGCAGGCTTGTTTGTTCGTCTCTCACGAGTGCTCTCAGAACTTGATGTGGTTGATTTCCCAGCGCTGGTTCAGGCTGGTCGGGTTGCAGAGTGCCAGGAACACCTGCTGCAGCGTCTCGGAGCGGTCGAGGCACCTCCCGGAGGGGCTGTGGACAAATCTTCCCTCTCCCTGTGCGACACAGCAAGTCATGCGGCGAGTGAACTCGTTAACTGCTAATGCAGCCGTTATGAAGGCAACTTTAACAATTGGTACATTTGCTGAGAGTGTGTATTCTTCGTACGAGCTTTGCAATCATGTCTTCAATTTAAAATTAGCTATAAACTTTTTATTGTACCAGGTAAGGCCCACTGAGCTATACAGCTCTTTTTCAAAAGCAACCCGCGCATCAGGAATGATATCTCAAAGGAGTGGCTTATCACGTGGAAATTGAAAGCAGCCAAATATTTAAACGCAAACTCCAAATATTTAGCAGGCATCAGGGTCGGGATCGAACCCACGACCTCCTGTGTACCAGGCGAGGTAGTTAACATCTCGCCACTGTGGCACCCTTTTTGCATTCGTACAGCCTACATTGACGGCACAGGTCGTGAGGGTAGGCCCTCATCCAGCAGTGGACTGACATCCGAACCAAAAATGACCACAAATGACAGAAAGCACCACCCAGTAGCATACGTGGGGGACCCCTCCCCCCCATGTCACCCCCCCCCCCCCCCAAAATCCGGTGCAGTTGCACCGCCGGCGCGCTCGATAACAGCTGGGCCGTCGCCGCGTCTCACCATGCGGAAGCTCCAGTCGTTGAACTCGGTGCGGTCGCAGTGCACGATGGTGACGCCGGTGCCCTCCTTGCCGCCCTGCGTCAGGCACTGGTCGTGCTGCATCAGCTGGTTCATGTCGTTGAGGCGGAACAGCTTCATGGGGAGAGCCACCGGTGGGGGCGGCAGAGATGGAGACGGAGAGAGAGAGCAACACAGCGGCATTAGAGAGGGAGATAGGTGGAGGTCGTGGGAGTTGACAGGAAAAAGTGAAATCACTTTTTCTTCCCTTAAGTAGAGGTACGAAAATTTTGAGTTGGGATTGAGTGGTGTCACAGTACCATGAGCCCGGTGACCTGAGTTAGATTCCTGACCACGGCTAGCATTGGTGGCAAGTGATGTCAGATACAGTACTGTCCCTCGCCATCCCCCCACCCCCCTCCCCCCACTGCCCCTCCCCAACCTGCACTGACCGGCGTGGAGAAGTATTGTCAAAAACCCCAATGACCAATATGGCTGGGGAGGTTTTCATCCATCGGTGGATCCCGAATGGCTGGAATTCATTATTAATGTAGTAGTCGTATTGGTAGTAGTAATAGTAGTATTAATAATGTCTTATGCCTGTGACCAAATCACCCGGAATGGACCCGAGCTCAGAATTTCTCTGAAGCAATGCAGGGTTGAGCCTGGATGGTGCTTAAGATGGGTGACCACCACGCACAACAAACAGGTCGCTGGAGGTGGCTACGGGGATACGCGGTGTGCAGCAAACTGGGCAGTTAAGCGAAATCCACCTTCTCCGAGCCACGCTGACCCTGTCGTGCGGAGGCCCTGCGCTCAGAAAAACCCTTTCTCGACCATGCCCAGGCGGGTGCTGAAGCCCCGTCAGCCTGCGCTGGAGCGACGAGAGGGTTTGTACGTGGAGCTGGGATCGACCGAGTGAGTGGTGAAGTCGGGCGTCACCTGGTTGCCACCGAGGCCGTGGCAGGGCCCCAGCTCCACGAGACCGCCGTTGTTGTGGCCCATGCTGTCGATGCAGAAGTTGCTCTTCTTGCCACGGATCTTGACGGTCAACGAGACGCGAGGAATTTACAAAAATCACGTGCTTTCCGAGGTCCATTCGTCTCTGTGAGTGTTGAATCAGTGGTATGGAAGCGGGTAAACTGCTCGGGGAAATGTGTTTAAAATAAATAAATATATATTTTGTAACTGTCGCGTTTGTGTCTCCCAAGTGTTTCGGGAAACACTGATCAATTTGGTCAGCTTTCAATAAGTCTCAAATGGAAACGTAACATAAGAAGGTTTGGTTCACATTGGGTCATCTTTATGGTAGTTGTGGTGCCTCCCCTGTTATGGACAGAAAGGCGGGCGGAGCCAAAACGCATGAACGCATGCAACCTTTGTTGGAAAGCGTAACGAAATTAAGCCCCAACAATTCTTGCACAACTGCCCGTGTAAAATTATCCGTTGCCACTGCACGCGCTTGGAGCACCTCTCACGCGGAGAGCGAAACGGCAGCAACACGCGGCACAGCCAGACATCACACGGAGAGCTGTGCAGCAGCACAACCCGAAAACGTCTACGTGTGGCGGCGGCGGCGGTAGTGGTTAGCACTCTCCACTACAGACCCGGCCACCCGAGTTCGATTCCCGCTCGCGACCAACGCCAGTGACGATTATCCGAAACCGCTCCTGGGCCTCCCCCTAGGTCGACCCAGCCTCAAATGAGTACCCGGTGCAGTGTCTAAAAACATCGCCACTGGGGAGACTAAGGCGGCCGGGCGTGGTACTGGCTACCGACCCCCTTCATGTGCCATGCCGGCCTTCATAGGTGCTACTCGCTACTAACGGGCACTTTCCCCAGTCCATTACAGGCCATACGGGGGATCTTCATCTTTGGGGAAGGCGGCACCCACCTCTCCCCAGTCGACGTTCTTGGGCGGCAGTGGGTAGAACTGCAGCACGTCGTAGGCGATGTTCTCCATGAACCAGCTGAAGCTCTTGCAGTTGTGCTCACGCCGGAATCTGTGCAGCGCCGAGACGTCTCCGTAGGGCAGCGCCTGAGTCTCCGGGCGACTCGCGTAGAAGTAATCCCGGTAGTCGTCCCACCACACCTCCACCACCCGCACGTAGTTCTGTAAAAACGACACCGCCCATCGCCAGCATCGGATTAATTTTGAAGGGGGTGGCCGTGGGTTTAATCCTGACCCTGACACCTGCTGTTTATTTGGAGTTTGCATGTTCTCTCTCAACTCTCCCCGCGGAGCATTTGAATTTTCACGTGATAATAAGCCACTTCGTTGGGCTATCATTTGTGGCCAAGTCGCTTCTGAAAAGGAGTGAGGGAAAAAAGTATTTGATCCCCTGCTGATTTTGTACGTTTGCCCACTGACAAAGAAATGATCAGTCTATAATTTTAATGGTAGGTTTATTTGAATAGTGAGAGGCAGAATAACAACAACAAAAATCCAGAAAAACGCATGTCAAAATTTGTATGAATTGATTTGCATTTTAATGAGGGAAATAAGTATTTGACCCCTCTGCAAAACATGACTTAGTACTCGGTGGCAAAACCCTTGTTGGCAATCACAGAGGTCAGACGTTTCTTGTAGTTGGCCACCAGGTTTGCACACATCTCAGGAGGGATTTTGTCCCACTCCTCTTTGCAGATTTTCTCCAAGTCATTAAGGTTTCGAGGCTGACGTTTGGCAACTCGAACCTTCAGCTCCCTCCATAGATTTTCTATGGGATTAAGGTCTGGAGACTGGCTAGGCCACTCCAGGACCTTAATGTGCTTCTTCTTGAGCCACTCCTTTGTTTCCTTGGCCGTGTGTTTTGGGTCATTGTCATGCTGGAATGCCCATCCACGACCCATGTTCAATGCCCTGGCCGAGGGAAGGAGGTTCTCACCCAAGATTTGACGGTACATGGCCCCGTCCATCGTCCCTTTGATGCGGTGAAGTTGTGCTGTCCCCTTAGCAGAAAAACACCCCCTAAGCATGTTTCCACCTCCATGTTTGACGGTGGGGATGGTGTTCTTGGGGTCATAGACAGCATTCCTCCTCCTCCAAACATGGCGAGTTGAGTTGATGCCAAAGAGCTCCATTTTGGTCTCATCTGACCACAACACTTTCACCCAGTTGTCCTCTGAATCATTCAGATGTTCATTGGCAAACTTCAGACGGGCATGTATATGTCTTTTCTTGAGCAGGGGGACCTTGCGGGTGCTGCAGGATTTCAGTCTTTCACGGCGTAGTGTGTTACCAATTGTTTTCTTAATGACTATGGTCCCAGCTGCCTTGAGATCATTGACAAGATCCTCCCGTGTAGTTCTGGGCTGATTCCTCACCGTTCTCATGATCATTGCAACTCCACGAGGTGAGATCTTGCATGGAGCTCCAGGCCGAGGGAGATTGACAGTTCTTTTGTGTTTCTTCCATTTGCGAATAATCGCACCAACTGTTGTCACCTTCTCACCAAGCTGCTTGGCAATGGTCTTGTAGCCCATTCCAGCCTTGTGTAGGTCTACAATCTTGTCCCTGACATCCTTGGAGAGCTCTTTGGTCTTGGTCATGGTGGAGAGTTTGGAATTTGATTGATTGATTGCTTATCTGGACAGGTGTCTTTTATACAGGTAACAAGCTGAGATTAGGAGCACTCCCTTTAAGAGTGTGCTCCTAATCTCAGCTCGTTACCTGTATAAAAGATACCTGGGAGTCAGAAATCTTTCTGATTGAGAGGGGGTCAAATACTTTTTTCCCTCATTAAAATGCAAATCAATTTCTAACATTTTTGACATGCGTTTTTCTGGATATTGTTGTTGTTATTCTGTCTCTCACTGTTCAAATAAACCTACCATTAAAATTATAGACTGATCATTTCTTTGTCAGTGGGCAAACGTACAAAATCAGCAGGGGATCAAATACTTTTTTCCCTCACTGTACATAGCTCAGTGGGGCCTTAACTGCTAAAATGAAACGTGTAATGTTGAAAGTTTAGTTTGTTATGGTTTTTGGGGGGCCCCCTCTTTGGCTGTTCAGTTACTTTCCTCGACTCTTCTACCACCACTCATGCCCAATACCACAACACTGCGTTGCTATTCGCCTCGGCTTTTTCAATTGCGGTTTTTGAATGTGCCATTAGAACTTGGAAAGCTACATCGAAGTCAAAACGAACTTAATTAGTTTGCGTACGTAAGCCGTAGCATTACACATTGGGATGCTAAGGCTGTAATGACCGCGTTACCTGCAGGACTTATCACATTGGCTCGAGTATTGCATTTTAGACAATTTCGGGTTTGGGTGAGGCCAATCGCTATTGTGTTGTCATGAAAGTCTGGGAGGGCCTTCATCCAGCAGTGGATTAACAAATTGGGCCGGACATGAATATATATTTGAGGAGGCCCCTCAGCATTTGTTGTTCCCTCGGACTGCAAGCTCTTGAAGCCCCTGCTTTAATCCAGCGCTGCCCATCTAAGCATTTTAATGTGCCCCACAACTTGCAATGCTGAACAAAACGTCGCAATGAACAAGACTATTTTCAGTTTTGCCCCATAACCCACAGTGATGCACACGGTGATGCCCCGGCTTTAATTTTACCAGATTACCGGCAGGAATAGCAGTGCTACTTTATTGCATATTTTTGGCCCCTAGCGTCTATAAATTTGTGGTTGCCTGACACTGCACTTTTTCCTTCCTCCATTATCTGCAGGATTGGGAGGCTCCTGTCATTTGCAAATTGCACTTTCCTCAGTCACTCCCACACTGCTTGTTTTAAGTCAGATTTTAAAAATGCACTTTAATCAATGAATGAGCGTGCACGCGTGTGTCATCTTGTCCGAGAACGGTGGCCGTAGTGGTTAGTGCACTTTGCTCCGCACCCGAGTCCGATGCCCGCTCACAAACAATAACAGTGGTGAAACATCTGAATTGCTTTCGCTTAACGCGTTGGTGAATTTTCAGGAACGCATCTACTACCACGTTCAACGAGAACTTACTGAACAGCAGATTCAAATTTATTTAACTATCTTTTATTTTACCAGGTAAAGCTCACCGAGCTACACAGCTCTTTATCAGAAGCAACCTGGCCACAAATAATAGCTCATTGAAAGTGGTTTATCGTCACGTGGAAATTGATAGCAGCCAAATACTGTTAACGCACGTCGATTCGAAATGCGTAGGGAAAAACCGGAGGATCCTGAGAAAAATCCAAACGACCACGGGGAGAGACACGCAAACTCCAAATATTCAAGCGTCAGCCTTGGGTTTGAACCCACGACCTCCTGCATACTCGGCGAGGTTAGTTAACATCTCGCTACAGGCGCGCTACGCCAACGACCCCTACCTGTAGCGCAGGGGCTGGGCCCACGCTGGGTGGTGGAGGGTTTCCAGCCCAGCCCTCGAGGCGGTAGATGTGTCCCACGCGCGAACAGGGCACGAAGAGGAGCGTTCCTCCGCACTGCCAGATCTGCGGGGACACGGAGACGCCGCGACAACACCGCCATCACCGTCACTGCCGTCGGCGCAGCTGCCAACTGCCGTACATAATCACCGCGGCGGCGAGATGTTAACTACCTCGCCTGGTATACAGAAGGACGTGGGTTCGACACCGAGCCTGACGATGGCTGTATATTTGGAGTTTGCGTGTTCTCCCCGTGGTCGTGTGGATTTTCCTCCGGGTCCTCCGCTTTTTCCCTCCGCGTTTAGAAACACGCGCTTTAGAGTATTTGGCTGTTGCTATAAATTTCCACGTGATAAGCCACTTCGTTGAGCTATCATGCGTGGCCAGGCCGCTTATTAAAAAAGAGCTATATATAGCTCGGTGGGTCTTACCTGGTAAGATAAAAAAAATTGTTTAGTTTACTTTAATCGCCACCCTCATTCTCACCTTCCAGCAATGATCCATCGACCCCCCCCCCCCCCTTGTAATTGCCTATTGTCATGTGAAGACCTCTGCCAAACCACTGCCGGATGTCAGGGCCCCAACCGCACCGCATTGGAATTTTGGGGAGTTGTTTGACAATACTTTTTACGATGCTGGTCAGCGTGGTTTCTTTTTGGCGAATGCAGGGAACACAGAGGTACAGTACAACACTGGCGTTTGCTGCGCCTGCCTATTTCGGCCCTCGAGGCAAAGCCCGCAAGCCTTTAGCGATTACGGTAATGATCACTCCCCGAAAGTAAGATCCTATTTGTGGTAGGATTATGATTTGGGGAGAGTTGGCCAGGTGGCTCAGGGAACAGAGTCCTCAGCCACGAATACTAAGATCGGATCCAGGTTTCGATCATCATCATCAGCCATGATCAATCTACTGCTAGATCAGGGGATTGCAACCTGCAGCTACAGAGCCGCATGCGGCTCTTTAAGGAACTGCTTCGCGACCATTATTTATGAATCACCACCGTCTCGTATTCACCACGCAGTGCCATGCGGCTCTTTAAGGAACTGCTTCGCGACCCAATTCTAGATTTATTTATTTTGTTATTTTTTTTGTTATTTTATTTTCACCTACGTGACTTTACCCAATAGAACCAAAGAGTATGCTTCGCGACCGTTATTTATGAAGCACCACCGTCTCGTATTCACCACGCAGTGCCATGCGGCTCTTGAAATACTTTACTGAGGTTTTTGTCACTGAATTACAAACACGAATCGCTGCTCTTTTTATTTTGGTTGCCGACCCCTGTGCTAGATGAAGGCCTCTCTAAGCCGGCATAGAAATACAACCAGGGATTTACAGTGAGGGAAAACGAATATTTGATCCCCAGCTGATTTTGTACGTTTGCCCACTGACAAAGAAATGATCAGTCTATAATTTTAATGCTGGGTTTATTTGAACAGTGAGAGACGTAATAACAACAACAAAAAACAGAAAAACGCATGTCAAAAATGTTATAAATTGATTTGCATTTTAATGAGGGAAATAGGTATTTGACCCCCTCTCAATCAGAAAGATTTCTGGCTCCCAGGTGTCTTTTAAACAGGTAACAAGCTGAGATTAGGAGCACACTCTTAAAGGGAGTGCTCCTAATCTCAGCTTGTTACCTGTATAAAAGACACCTGTCCACAGAAGCAATCAATCAATCAGATTCCAAACTCTCCACCATGGCCAAAACCAAAGAGCTCTCCAAGGATGTCAGGGACAAGATTGTAGACCTACACAAGGCTGTAATGGGCTACAAGACCATTTCCAAGCAGCTTGGTGAGAAGGTGACAACAGTTGGTGCGATTATTCGCAAATGGAAGAAACACAAAATAACTGTCAATCTCCCTCGGCCTGCGGCTCCATGCAAGATCTCACCTCGTGGAGTTGCAATGATCATGAGAACGGTGAGGAATCAGCCCAGAATTACACGGGAAGATCTTGTCAATGATCTCAAGGCAGCTGGGATCATAGTCACAAAGAAAATATTTGGTAACACACTACGCCGTGAAGGACTGAAATCCTGCAGCGCCTGCAAGGTCCCCCTGCTCATGAAAGCACATATAGATGCCCGTCTGAAGTTTGCCAATGAACATCTGAATGATTCAGAGGACAACTGGGTGAAAGTGTTGTGGTCAGATGAGACCAAAATGGAGCTCTTTGGCATCAACTCAACTCGTCGTGTTTTGAGGAGGAGGAATGCTGCCTATGACCCCAAGAACACCATCCCCACTGTCAAACATGGAGGTGGAAACATTATGCTTTGGGGGTGTTTTTTCTGCTAAGGGGACAGGACAACTTCACCGCATCAAAGGGACGATGGACGGGGCCATGTACCGTCAAATCTTGGGTGAGAACCTCCTTCCCTCAGCCAGGGCATTGAAAATGGGTCGTGGATGGGTATTCCAGCATGACAATGACCCAAAACACACGGCCAAGGCAACAAAGGAGTGGCTCAAGAAGAAGCACATTAAGGTCCTGGAGTGGCCTAGCCAGTCTCCAGACCTTAATCCCATAGAAAATCCGTGGAGGGAGCTGAAGGTTCGAGTTGCCAAACGTCAGCCTCGAAACCTTAATGACTTGGAGAAGATCTGCAAAGAGGAGTGGGACAAAATCCCTCCTGAGATGTGTGCAAACCTGGCAGCCAACTACAAGAAACGTCTGACCTCTGTGATTGCCAACAAGGGTTTTGCCACCAAGTACTAAGTCATGTTTTGCAGAGGGGTCAAATACTTATTTCCCTCATTAAAATGCAAATCAATTTATAACATTTTTGACATGCGTTTTTACGGATTTTGTTGTTGTTATTTTGTCTCTCACTGTTCAAATAAACCTACCATTAAAATTATAGACTGATCATTTCTTTGTCAGTGGGCAAACGTACAAAATCAGCAGGGGATCAAATACTTTTTTTCCCTCTGTACGTGACCAAAACCCAGGATTGAAACGTCAACGTTTGTGCCACTTTAAATGAATGGACGGGACGCCTGGCTTCTGGGCCCTGTGTCTTCCAGCAAAGCACGCCTCGGGCATGCCGATCGATCGCGATTGATCGTTTTCTGGTAGCCAAAGTGAATCGTCAATATCTTTCGGTTCAAAATGAAAATACCGTATTTGATTTAAATTATCCCTGCCTATCTCTGCGGTCTCGTGTGTGCGTGCGTAATTTTTTTTTTAATATATATATACATCTATAACGTGTTCGTTTTTAACAAGAACTCGATTACACACCGCACTGGGACCGTTTAACGTTTCGAATAACGGCCGCTGTTAATTTGATCGTGGCTATTCTACGGACCGGTCCGCTCTCAATGTTTCGCTCGACAACCAAACGCCCGGTGACCGAGTTGCTACTTTGCCGACGAGCTGCGCGACGCCGCGTTTTGACAAGTCAATGACGTCTTCTGTATGAGCGTACGTATGCGTGTGTGTATGTATGTACGCTCAACTTCTTTCGTGCCGTGCGTAGCCAAATGCACTAAATCGGAGGCGCCACGTCTTCAAGGCATCGCAAAGACTTCTCCCGTAGCCGAGTGCGCCAAATAAATACACCGTTAAGTGTTCTCGCTGAACGCGTGGTGTTCACACGGCGTGTCTTCGCTATTAAAGCGGTTCATTAGCGAACGCATTTTGCACAACGCGGAACGCGTGCACCGTTATGGCAACCAACAACTTTCTTGAGCAGCGCTGCTGAGTGGAATGATACAGCACGCGGAATGATACGGTACGCGGAGTGACAGTACACGGCAGCGTACCCTCATCTCGGTTCTTTGTCCCGCCATATCACTGTGCGTGCGTCCATCGTGTCTTTGCCAAAGCCGCCAAACTGTATCGTTACAATATTCCTTATGGGGAAATTGTTTTCGCTCAACGCGGTTTTCGCTTAACGTGGCACTTTTCAGGAACGCATCCGCCGCGTCAAACGAGGAATTGCGCTGTACGTAGAGAGCCCGGCGGGAGGGCTCAGACTCCTCAGACTCCGGAGCACCCTCTAGCGAATGGCCTTCCGCCAGCAGTGGCCCGAGCGAAGCAATTGCAGGGCTGCGCCTGTGCAGAAAGCTGGTGGCGCACGCCTGTAATCCAGAAAGTTTGGAGGCGAGGGTTGGTGGATTACACAAATGATGAATTATGAAATGCTTTCTCCTCAAGTGTGTGTGTGGCGAGGTTGCCATCTACTGATTTGCCAGGGTATAGCGGTGCAGCGATTGAATTACCTTCTTTTCCGCCGTTACAATTTATTACAAGGGGGGTGGAGAGTGTTAATTACCTCCATCGCTCCAGTGGGCTTTCTCCGGGTACTCCTCTTTCCTCCGGCATGTATGAACATTCACGAACGATAGTCACCGAACATCCTAATATAGGACCGCAGAGCTCGGGCAAATGTTGCCAACGGTTCTGGATGTCTTCCCGCTTGCCTGTGGTTGGTCGGAACAGCAACAGGTCGCTGCCGCCACACACCACCCCCAGTAGCGGAGAATTAAATACAACCCACGGTGCGACTGCGGCCACCCGAACCGGACAATGGAGCCAACCGTATCGCGAACAAACCGCATCCTACGCCCCCCGCTCTCCGACGGACTGAGCGATATCTGTCGCGCAGCTCCCCCGAAGCTATGGCGCAGCTCACAGACTTAAAACTCGGACGTGTGCTTTTGCGCACAGTACTTGCCGTATGCTGCCGAGAGTGTGCGTGGGTTCGGGCTTTCCAGTGCCTTTTGAGATGCGATCTTCTATTTCAAATGGAATCACGGAGCATTGCATTGGCGTCCGTGGTCAGGCCATTCATTCCCTGACTACATCTCTGTGCCTCGACCGACGGGAATCCCTCCCTAGGCTCGTGCCAAGTGACTCTGCGCAGATTAGTCACACGAAGACAACCCAGTAAGCCACATGCGTTGTATATAAATTGAAAATTACCAGTGCGACAAACCCTTAAATCGCGGGTAATTACACGGTCCGATAAAGGCTAATCCACATCATTTATCTCTCTCTTGTTGTTGTTGTGTACAGTGGCTCGCGACGGCAAGACTCCGGCTGCTTGGTGGCACGGGTGAGATTCCACTGGCGACCGCCCCCCTCCGTGCCCCCCCTTCCCAACTTCCATCCCCCACCTCCGCCCCCCCTCCCCCCGTTTCACAATGACTCGTAGGCAGGGATTATTCCCACACATTTGCTGCGCTGGCACAGAGGCGTCGGTGGAACTTTGGCGCCGGCGTGAGTGTGGGCACATTTTCATCGATGGCTGCTAAACGCTCGTCCTGGTGAGAGTGGTGGTGGTGGGGGGGGGCACTCCATGTCGATCTCGTTCGTTTGGAGCGATTAAGAGTTGAGGAGTGGGGGAGGTATATGGCGATTGCGCCGTACGTGTGCTGAACTTCCTTCGCACCGTACGTAGCCAACAGCCTCGTCATACAAACCAACAAAATAATTTCTGATTCAACCGCATTAATTGATCAAACCAAACAGTTCTCGTTGAAACCTTCTGCTGCCAGGCCACCAAGATTATACAGCTTACCAAAAATACATAAAGTAGATACACCCCTTCGTCCCATCGTCTCTACTATCAACTCCCCCACCTACAAACTGGCTCGTTTTCTGTCTGAAATCCTGCGGCCTTTCACTGGAAAAACCACCTCTGCGGTACAAAATTCTACTCACCTGGTATCGACAATCACGGGTATTTACCTGTCCCCAGACGACCTGCTTGTCAGTTTTGATGTAGTTTCCTTATTCACCAAAGTTCCTGTACCTGACACCATCGCAATCATTGAAGACTTGGTTCATCAAGGACTAAACACTGAGGTACCCCCCCTGGTGAGACATTGCTTAACCAATACATATTTCACTTGGAATGGAACTTTCTACAAACAAACTGAGGGCACCCCAATGGGCTCCCCCTATCTCCGGTTGTAGCCAACATTTGCATGGAGAAATTTGAGACTGATGCCATCCAGACTGCCACTCTGCGCCCAACCTTATGGAAGAGGTACATGAATGACACTTTTGTCATCTGTCCACAAACCAATTCCTAGACCACATCAATTCCATACACCCAGCTATCAGATTTACCATGGACGTCGAAAAAGATGGCAAGCTCCCTTTTTTGTCTACAGGAAAGCTACCCATACGGATGCTTACCTGAAACCGGATTCCCACCACCGTCCGTCCCAGAAGAATTCCCTCATCAAGACTCTGCACCATAGAGCCCAATGCATATCCGACCAGGAACACATAGCCAGTGAACTCAATCACGTACACCAAGCTCTTAAGGCTAATGGTTACTCTGACTACACAATCCGCAAAGCTATCACTCCAACCATGAAGAAGGACGCTCTTGAGGAGCCTTTCAAAACAATCACTTTACCCTACATTGCGGGGATCACAAAAAAGATCTCCAAAATCTTGAATAAACATAAGATCCAGGTCCGATTCAACACATTACATAAAATCCGTGATCTGGTTCCGTCTGTAAAAGATGTGATTCCGGACATACAGTACCCTGGCGTCTACAAACTAAGTTGCCTCTGTGGTAGTAGTTACATTGGAGAAACCAAACGACATGTCTCGGACCGCATTCGTGAACACAAAGCAGACCTAAAACACGGTAGGACCAACACCTCGGCTGTGGCAGATCACTGTTATAATTCAGTAGGCTCACAAGACATTGACTTCTCCAAGACAGAGGTTATTTCAAGCCATCTGGCTACCATGAGAGATTCGTTCATGAGGCTATCCACATAAACAAACACAGAGACAATTTCAACCGAGAAGATGGATTCTGGCTTAGCAATCATTGGAAGGATTTCATAAACCATTTCAGGTCTTAATTGAATGTTCACACTTATGGTGGCTTTCAGACTGCATCCATTATTTTCGTCTCCTCCCTCCTCTTTTCCGAACATAGATGGACTCGTCCATCTGAATAACTGCCAAATCGCTCTCCGTGGTGCTAACGTTAAAAATAACCGCCACTTTTTTAAAAATTTCTTGTCGTGGTTTTCACACCTGATGATGATTGCTTGTGTTGCAGTCGAAACGTCGTGATAATTTTATTATTTTATATTTTTATTATTTTATTGTATCCCTTCTACGTGACTTTACCGAAAGAACCAAGAATATATAACAACAGGATGTGACGGCGGTTTTTTTTTATCCCCCCCCCGTCTCCCTGCTCATTGACGCTCGGTTCAACCTGAGGCTGCGTGTGACCCAGGCCCGCCGTGTGTGTGTGTGTATGTGGTGTGTGTGTGGTGTGTGTGTGTATGTGGTGTGTGTATGTGATGTGTGTGTGTGTGATGTGTGTGATGTGTGTGTGGTGTGTGTGTGGTGTGTGTGTGATGTGTGTGTGTGGTGTGTGTGTGGTGTGTGTATGTGGTGTGTGTGGTGTGTGTGTGATGTGTGTGTGTGGTGTGTGTGTGTGTGTGTATGTGGTGTGTGTGTGGTGTGTGTGTGATGTGTGTGTGTGGTGTGTGTGTGTATGTGTGGTGTGTGTGATGTGTGTGTGTGGTGTGTGTGGTGTGTGTGTGTGGTGTGTGTATGTGGTGTGTGGTGTGTGTGTGTGGTGTGTGTGTGTGTTGTGTAGTGTGTGTGTATGTGGTGTGTGTATGTGGTGTGTGTGTGGTGTGTGTGTATGTGGTGTGTGTGTATGTGGTGTGTGTGTGTGGTGTGTGTGTGTGTATGTGGTGTGTGTGGTGTGTGTATGTGGTGTGTGTTTGTATGTGGTGTGTGTGGTGTGTGTGTGATGTGTGTGTGTGGTGTGTGTGTGGTGTGTGTGCAAGGGCTGTGGGCCTCTTCATAAAAAAATGCTGGCCCTGGTGGTCGAGAGGTCAGAGTGCTGAGCCATCCTGAGTTGGAATCCAACACTGGGTTCTCAAAGGCAGCGAAGTTGATGGTCTCAGGCCGGTCACCAGTGACTGCACGAGAAGAAAGTCACGATGTAAAATGTTTTTTTTTTTTTACACAGCCATCAGTGCCAATCGGGGGTGCGAGGAAAATTTGGGTTACAGAATGTGCCGCACTTTAAAGTGTGGGCCAGAGGCCGGGCTGAAATGATCTCAACAACATCAGAGATATCACACCTCGGATATGATTGACATCTCATAATGATGAATTTGGTTCTGCACTTAATTTGGCTAAATTGCACCTCTCAGAATTAAAATGTCAATGTTACTGTCACGTGCCGAACAATACTCTCATATGCAGAGGGGGTGAAAACACGTGCTGTCCTCTCTTCTTCATTCTGACTGTCCATCGCAAACGACGATGACTGCTAAGAACGGCTACAGCAGCAGCATTTTCCTGCGCACCGGTGGGATGAGAGCCCAGCCCTTGAGCAAATGCATCGGCCGCACTGTGGGTCAAAGGTTGCTGCTCGTCCGCTGGATGGGATTCGTGTTGTGCCGTTGCTTGCTGGTGTCGATGCCGATAGGTGTTTTTTCCTCGCTTTATTTTCTTCAACTCTGGAACCACAGGACACTTGGGCTGATCTCAGGGGTAGCTCTGTGACATATGCCTCTGTGGGCCATCCTCCATCGTGGGCAGTTGCGCTGCACTGCAAACGGTCCGAAGGGATCCTTCGTCCCGTGACACGGTGCCCAAAGCAGAATGGGGTTCGAATCGGTGAACTCGACCACAAAATGATAACAGGCGTCTATTATACTCCTGCTCGCAGGGGTAACCACTTGGCTTAAGATTAGTTTAACACGTAGATCGCGTAAATACGTGTAAATATGCGTAAATACCCCAAAAAAATTGGGTAATAATTTTTTTTTGGGTAAGAATTTTTTGGGGATTATTTACGTGATCTAAGCCAAAAAAACGGGATTTTGGATTATATTGGTGGCGAAAGCCTACGTGTTAAACTGACGCAGGCTTTCGCGACCTTTACCCCCTCGATTTAAGACCGAAACAGGAGGAATTGTCCACAAATCTGGCTGTCTCCTGATGACGCTAGCTGTAATCACCGGCGAAACGTTGTACTTGAATTGTACATGTTGTGGGTTTACTCTCCAACACGCCGGTGTGTTGGACTAGTAACTAATTGGCACGTTTTGTTTACGTGACAAACTTTACCAATCGGCTGTGTCGGGTGGTGGCGGGTTTAACGACGCATTTATATTGCCACAATTTAACCCAGAAAAACCTTTATTGTGGCTTAAGGCTGGTCGCTTATTGTCTCAAGTCCTGCACTATGTGCCACTCACCCTGCTGTCTGGGTCTTGTGGCTGAACCTAGGCCACATCTGTCAGGCTCCAATAACTTCTGCGTTTTTAATGGGTCTCTCATAGTATGTGTGGGTTTTCTCTGCTTATTTTCTTTCCACCATTACGTGCACCATTTATTTATTCATCTTGGATCTGATAATTCAGCTGATCTGGCTTTCTTTGTCCCCGACTCTCTATTAGAGATAATAGGGTTTTCCCCTTTTTTCTGGCAACAAAACATGCTGTGTTAAGATGTGAAAACACCAAACTGAAACCTTTCACAAGGAATCATGTCTGCATTAACCACACATACTTGTGGTCAGAATGCAAACAAAAAACATGCTCTGATAATATATGCATTGTCTTTGAAACTGATTGGTCCACACCAGAGACAGCTTTCTTTTTTCTGAGCCTCGTCTCAAAACGGTGTTAGACCAGAGGACGCCTCTATTAGAGCTTATTCACTCAACCATTTAGAATTGCACGACACGAGCCCAGTTTTAAAATCGTACAATGGGACGGTGATGAGCCATTGGCGGAGGGCTCTGTGCGGGTGCTGGTGGTGGGACGAGCCATAAAATGACTTCACGACGACCCGCCGAATCTCAAGCGGCGTCTTCGCCCGACGCGTCTCACGTCCCCGGGTCGACCGTCGTCGTTCTTCTGCCGCCTCACCTTGTAGGAAATCTCAAAGTTTTCACCGCCCCAGATCTGCAGCCCGGGGTCGTAGAGTCCCAGCTCAAAGAAGAAGTCCCGATCGATGGCGAAGAGACCCCCGGCCATCGCCGGAGACCTGGGAGGGGAAAAAACCCGAGGAGTGTGAATTGAATCGACATCGCGACTGCGCGTCACCGAGTCTCAAGACTCCTTTTCAGCAGGGTCTCGACAAGTTGTCGCAGCAGGGAGCGACGCTGCTGCTGCTGCTGCTGCTGCTGTGCGCGCGATCCCAATTGAGCAAGGGTGTGACGGGTCAGCGCACCGCTCTACGAACCCGGGGAACTGAGTTCGATTCCCGCTCACGGCCACCGACACCCAGTGACGGATTATCTGAACCGGTCCTGGGTCGACTAAGCACCCTCAAATTAGAACCGCTTTGTGTGTTTAGATTGGTGTCCTTCCCCCGCACCTCCGATTAGCACGGTCGGCTACGTACTGTGCGAAAGAAGTTCAATATACAAACGAACAAGTTCATCGCCTGCTGCGATGTGTAAACATCGCCACCGGGGAGACAAAAGCGGCCGAGAGTGGTGCTGGCCACATCGCCCCCCTGCGTGCACGTTCCGGCCTTCATCGGTGTGGTGAAGTACGGTCAAATAACCCCCACCGATCCATCATAATCGGCATCGTTATCCGGGGGGGGGGGGGGGTCTTTGTGTTTGTGCACCGGTAGGGCTCTGTCTTGTGCTTGCGCCGTGCCCTCTCGCGCTCGCTCAGCGGAATCCGCTTCCAAAGGAGGCTCCAGTCCCAGGCGCCGCGCGCAAAGCCGTCATCGTCACCCCCCTGTTGCGGCTCCATGGTATAGTCCATCCCATTGATGTAGTCGATGAGGGGGACTGTGCTAGTCGTCCTACGGGGGGGGGGGGTCGACGGGTGTAGAGAACAGGGCAGCATGATGTTGCGTATGTAGTACGGGATTGATCGGAATCTTCCTTGATGTTTGACAAAAGCAGCTATGCATTTTTTAAAGGTTAGAATTGCATACACGGGGCGGTGTTACGTCATAATCAGAATCTTTATTTATACTGGAGGAATCCGTTGACGTATAAAAAGCTCTTTTTCACAGATGTCCAGTAGTTAAGAACTGGGTTTTAAATTCCATCCACATCTGGGATATTTAGTTTTTCAATCTACTTCTGGGTGAGGACATGTCAACTCTGTGTAGATCGTGGGGGTTATTTGACCGTACTTCACCACACCGGTCAGCGTGCGTTGGTGAAGGGGTCAAGCATAGACCATTCTTAAAAAACAAATTAAATAAAAACCGGAAAATGCTGTAAATCACGTAAAGTCGCTTTACTCTGTGACCGTCCCGGCAAAATCGGTCACTTGGCATCGCGTGAAGTCACTTTTGCCGGCAGGAAGACATTTATAGACGACTGGACGATTTCCCGCGAAGTGAAATGTAAATCCGTTGCAGATCTGAAGTTGCCTTTAAATCCAAAAACAGCATCCTTCCCCCGTCAAGACACCGTGTAAGTTATAATAACGATTACTCTCGTCACCTGTCGTGAGCGATGGGGGCGGCGAGAGGCGGGTACCAGTTGATGCCGACCTCGCAGTGAGCGTCCAGGTAAACCAACACCTGCGCGCAGGACAAAGACAAAAATCTCACCACCACCACCCCCCCCCCAGGTAGCCTTATCATCCTTATTGGAGCAAGCGCTGTTCGCGAGCACCCATGAAGGGTTGTCTGGATGGGTGGCTCCAGCTCCATGGCTGGACGGTGGTCGAGATGAACAAACCGAGCGACAGCCAAAGGTGGGAACACGTCCTAGTGGGCATCCATCGCTGGAGATGGAGCAATGAAAGCAGATCGGGCGCAGGAACCAAATGGATTTTTGGAACGCAAGATCCTAAGGCGACGTCTCTACGGGCGGGCGGCCTTCATTCAGCAGTGGATAGATCACGGCTGATGTGTTAAAATAAAAACACATTCTCGTCTGCCATGGGTTTCCTGTGAGCCTTGTAGCCGCTAGATGCCGCTACATCCAGCGCAATATAAACAGTCGGTTGTTGATTCGAATCACGATCCAGAATCGTGACATCGCATCGGATCACAGAGTTAACCATCATCATCACCATCTATGATCAATCCACTGCTGGATCAAGGCCTCCCTCGGGTTGCAGGCACCTCTCTCACGAACCTAGAATTAAGTAACAAACCACCCACCTACAATGGTGTAACCATCCACCCACCTACAATGATGTAACAATCCACCCACCTACAATGATGTAACAATCCACCCACCCACCTACAATGATGTAACAATCCACCCTCCTACAATGATGTAACCATCCACCCACAATGATGTAACAATCCACCCACCTACAATGAAGTAACAATCCACCCACCTTACAATGATGTAACAATCCACCCACCTACAATGATGTAACAATCCACCCACCTACAATGAATGTAACCATCCACCCACCTACAATGATGTAACAATCCACCCACCCACCTACAATGAATGTAACAATCCACCCACCTACAATGAAGTAACAATCCACCACCCACCTACAATGATGTAACAATCCACCCACCTACAATGAAGTAACCATCCACCCACCTACAATGAAGTAACAATCCACCCACCTACAATTATGTAACAATCCACCCACCTACAATGAAGTAACAATCCACCCACCTACAATGAAGTAACAATCCACCCACCTACAATGATGTAACAATCCACCCACCCACCTACAATGAAGTAACAATCCACCCACCTACAATGAAGTAACAATCCACCCACCTACAATGATGTAACAATCCACCCACCCACCTACAATGATGTAACAATCCACCCACCTACAATGAAGTAACAATCCACCCACCTACAATGATGTAACAATCCACCCACCTACAATGAAGTAACAATCCACCCACCTACAATGAAGTAACAATCCACCCACCTACAATGAAGTAACAATCCACCCACCTACAATGATGTAACAATCCACCCACCTACAATGATGTAACAATCCACCCACCTACAATGAAGTAACAATCCACCCACCTACAATGAAGTAACAATCCACCCACCTACAATGATGTAACAATCCACCCACCTACAATGAAGTAACAATCCACCCACCCACCTACAATGAAGTAACAATCCACCCACCTACAATGGTGTAACAATCCACCCACCTACAATGAAGTAACAATCCACCCACCTACAATGAAGTAACAATCCACCCACCTACAATGATGTAACCATCCACCCACCTACAATGAAGTAACAATCCACCCACCTACAATGATGTGACAATCCACCCACCCACCTACAATGAAGTAACAATCCACCCACCTACAATGATGTGACAATCCACCCACCTACAATGATGTAACAATCCACCCACCCACCTACAATGAAGTAACAATCCACCCACCTACAATGAAGTAACAATCCACCCACCCACCTACAATGAAGTAACAATCCACCCACCCACCTACAATGATGTAACCATCCACCCACCTACAATGATGTAACAATCCACCCACCTACAATGAAGTAACCATCCACCCACCTACAATGAAGTAACAATCCACCCACCCACCTACAATGATGTAACAATCCACCCACCTACAATGAAGTAACAATCCACCCACCCACCTACAATGATGTAACCATCCACCCACCTACAATGAAGTAACAATCCACCCACCTACAATGAAGTAACAATCCACCCACCCACCTACAATGATGTAACCATCCACCCACCTACAATGAAGTAACAATCCACCCACCTACAATGAAGTAACAATCCACCCACCTACAATGAAGTAACAATCCACCCACCCACCTACAATGAAGTAACAATCCACCCACCTACAATGAAGTAACAATCCACCCACCTACAATGGTGTAACAATCCACCCACCTACAATGAAGTAACAATCCACCCACCTACAATGATGTAACAATCCACCACCTACAATGAAGTAACAATCCACCCACCTACAATGATGTGACAATCCACCACCTACAATGAAGTAACAATCCACCCACCTACAATGAAGTAACAATCCACCCACCTACAATGATGTAACAATCCACCACCTACAATGAAGTAACAATCCACCCACCTACAATGAAGTAACAATCCACCCACCTACAATGATGTAACAATCCACCCACCTACAATGAAGTAACAATCCACCCACCTACAATGATGTAACAATCCACCCACCTACAATGATGTGACAATCCACCCACCCACCTACAATGAAGTAACAATCCACCCACCTACAATGATGTAACAATCCACCCACCTACAATGAAGTAACAATCCACCCACCTACAATGATGTAACAATCCACCACCTACAATGAAGTAACAATCCACCCACCTACAATGAAGTAACAATCCACCCACCTACAATGATGTAACAATCCACCCACCTACAATGATGTAACAATCCACCCACCTACAATGATGTAACAATCCACCCACCTACAATGATGTGACAATCCACCCACCCACCTACAATGATGTAACAATCCACCCACCTACAATGATGTAACAATCCACCCACCCACCTACAATGAAGTAACAATCCACCCACCTACAATGATGTAACAATCCACCCACCTACAATGATGTAACAATCCACCCTCCTACAATGATGTAACAATCCACCCACCTACAATGATGTAACAATCCACCCACCTACAATGATGTAACCATCCACCCACCTACAATGATGTAACAATCCACCCACCTACAATGATGTAACCATCCACCCACCTACAATGATGTAACCATCCACCCACCTACAATGAAGTAACAATCCACCCACCTACAATGAAGTAACAATCCACCCACCCACCTACAATGATGTAACAATCCACCCACCTACAATGATGTAACAATCCACCCTCCTACAATGATGTAACAATCCACCCACCCACCTACAATGAAGTAACAATCCACCCTCCTACAATGATGTAACCATCCACCACCTACAATGATGTAACAATCCACCCACCTACAATGATGTAACAATCCACCCACCCACCTACAATGATGTAACAATCCACCCACCTACAATGATGTAACAATCCACCCACCTACAATGATGTAACAATCCACCCACCTACAATGAAGTAACAATCCACCCACCTACAATGATGTAACAATCCACCCACCTACAATGATGTAACAATCCACCCACCTACAATGATGTAACAATCCACCACCTACAATGATGTAACAATCCACCCCACCTACAATGATGTAACAATCCACCCATCCTACAATGATGTAACCATCCACCCACCTACAATGATGTAACAATCCACCCACCTACAATGATGTAACCAATCCACCCACCACCTACAATGATGTAACAATCCACCCACCTACAATGATGTAACAATCCACCCACCTACAATGATGTAACAATCCACCCACCTACAATGATGTAACAATCCACCCACCTACAATGATGTAACAATCCACCCACCCACCTACAATGATGTAACAATCCACCCACCTACAATGATGTAACCATCCACCACCTACAATGAAGTAACAATCCACCCACTACAATGATGTAACAATCCACCCACCCACCTACAATGATGTAACAATCCACCCACCTACAATGGTGTAACAATCCACCCACCTACAATGATGTAACAATCCACCCACCCACCTACAATGATGTAACAATCCACCCACCTACAATGATGTAACAATCCACCCACCTACAATGATGTAACAATCCACCCACCCACCTACAATGATGTAACAATCCACCCACCTACAATGGTGTAACAATCCACCCACCCACCTACAATGAATTAACAATCCACCCTCCCACCTACAATTATGTAACAATCCACCCACCCACCTACAATGGTGTAACCATCCACCACCTACAATGATGTGACAATCCACCCAGCACGTAAACTGATCTCATCCGTTCCATCTCCTCGGAGTCCCTCTCTCGAACGCGTTGCATTCCACAGTGAGCCGCGTCTCGTGTACCACGACCCCGTCCCCACCACCACCACCGTCCAATCGGCAAGAGCAATAATCTCGGGCTCATAGTACTCACTTTATCCGCCAGGGGGGGGTATATCCCCACTGTGATGGCACAAAGGCTGAACAGGTCTATATAAAAAATAAATATATTCTCCCCAAGCGTTTGTTTATAGCGTTGAAGCGCTGCAAGAATGCCGATTTATCGTTACCAATAACATCTCGAGAGCGCCGTTAAATATTTCCACAGGCGAGGTACCATTTGGGACGATGTTATGAAACGTATTTTGTTTTCTCTTGGCAAAGGGAGGGGGAAAGCCGCTCAAGTGGCTTTTGTGCAACTTTGCCAAATGTTCTGATGAAATTTGTGTTAATTGCATCGATCGTATCGTCGTAAACGGACCACAGTTGCTGTTATATTATCACTGTCGTAATTACGAGTTCTGGAAACTACTACAACGCGTCCACTACACTGAAGTTACTCCAATGTCGAATACACGTTGGCTATTATTTTCTCGCGTACGATGGCAGCAGGAATGTGATTTCAGGAGATAGACGCTTACTAATTTCGACATCTGCTGCTGGCCACGACAAGAGAGGGCTTCAGCAGAGAGAGAGAGAGTGAGAGTTCGTGTCACTGGATTTATTATACGGTCCATACTAATGTATCTCTACGGGTCTCTGTGGCTTTACTATATTGCCAATAGTTTTAGGTTGTGCACGGCCACAAATCGCACTACTTGCGGCTCGTGTTTAATTTTCTATTGATGAAGGAGACGTGGGGGGGGGGGCATCGATCGGCCTGCTGCTGTTGATGTCCTGACGATGCGGTTGAACGCGTGGGTGCTAAACTACGGCCTTAATAACACACACAGACAGAGGCCTTTGTCAAAGGTGGCCTCCACCTATCTGTTGGGCGTGTTCGCGCCACCTGATTACGAATGAAACGCAACTTTTTACGTCACTCGATAAAATGGACGTCGTTTGTTCGAATATGCAACGGTACACATTCACTTAGTGGCTACGGTGATCGAATCACTCTAAACCCTAACCCCTAGGGGTGTATGGTGGTGGACCTGTCATATATTTGGAGTTGGAATGTTCTCCCCGTGGTGGTCGCGTGGATTTTCTTCCACGGGTCCTCCGATTTTCCCCTCCACACTTAGAATCAACGTCACGCGGTTCAGAGTATTTGGCCGCTATCAATTTCCACGTGATGATAAAGCCACTTCGTTGAGCTATCGTTTGTGGCCAGGTCGCTTCTGAAAATGAGCTAATACTGTAGCTCGGTGAGCCTTACCTGGTAAATTAAAAAAAAAAGTTTAGTTTATACTGTAGCTACGACTGCCTTTACAAAAAAAATAACTATGTGGTCAGTAGTTCTCGTCCGTGGCAACAACTTGCCCCTTTGCGATGACTCTTCTGGATATAATCAACAGCACGAGTTGAAAATGCCAGGAGTGTGGAGGAGGAGCGCTGTCCTTGCCGTCAAGACAATCATCGCTTCCAACCAAACAAACAACAGCCCCACCCCCACCGGTAGCAGACAGCGAGCGACGTGTGTGTGGGTTTGTTCGTCGCTGGCGGTGGCTAACAAGGCAGGCGCGCTCGGCTTGGGGCGAGTTAGTGATCGAGTCAGGCTGAAGGCGAGAATAGCCAAGGCAGCGTTGTTAAAACGGGGCCTCTGGCGCGGTAATTAATGAATGCTGAAAGTGGAAGAGAGCTGGTACGGGGTTTTTTTTCCTAGCCGTAAAACTTTTGAGACCCACACACATCATCGTCGTCGTCGTCACGATCCGTGGGCAAATAGCCCGTAGGTGCACACTCCACATTTCGTCACACACACACACACAGACAGAGGAGATATTAAAGTCTACCGCTTCGCTTTCATCCGTTGAAGCGCGCCGAGTGGATTGGATGACGGCGTCTTGAACGCGGATTGTAATCGGTGGATTCGTGATGGGAGATTTTTGGTGGACGATGAAAAGGAGAATTCCCGACACGGCGTGGCGAACGTTGGTGGACATCGAAACAAGCAATGTCGGTACTGTGTCAGCGTGAATCTTGATGCTTTTAAAAAAGAAAAAATCTCGATTGCCCTTATTTACACCGTAAAGCCTCACTGAGACTTTAAACCAGAGCCTAATATCCAGTATATCCCAATACCATCCAGGATACCTCTCACTTTATGGTTGTGGCCTGGGCTCAATTTCTCACTCGATATTTTCCGGAAAGCCAGCACCACGCCCGACCGCCTTTGTCACCACCAGTAGCGACGCTTACTACACACCCCATCATTTGAGGCTGAGTCGACCTAGCCGGAGGCCCCGGGACCGGTTCAGAAAATCGTCACTGGTGGTGTTGGCCGCGAGCGCTATGAACCCGGCCACCCGGGCCACCCGGGTTCATAGCGCAGCGTAGCGCTCACCGCTACACTACCGCTACCCCCCCCCCCCCAACACCCCTCCACCCACCCTGCCCACCCTGCCCACCTGCCCGCGCGTGGCCTTGCGGGCTCCGATGCTGCGGGACTGGATGAGTCCCTCGCGGCGCTCGTTGCGGACCACGGTGACGAGGCCGTTCCAGCGCTCAGCGACGTAGTCGTCCAGCCGCCCCTTCAGGTGCTCTGCAAAGACACGGGGCCGGCAGGTGCCGGATTAAGACGTGATGCTACAGGCCCCGCACTATGTTGTTATAAGGGGGGGGGGGGGTCTCTAAATACCAAAAAATAATAAACATTTTTTTTTAACTTGCATAGCCAAGTAACCTTAAACACCCGCTCGTTCATAAAAGTTGAAGGCAGTATAGTACTATAGTAATAGAGCAAGCGCAGAATCACTGATCCGGAATTTATAGCTTGAAAGCATTTAGCGCGGGGCCTTTGAAAGTGCGGGGCCCGTAGCTGCTACATATGTAGCTGCTACACGTGTAGTAGCTACTACATATGTAGCTGCTACATATGTAGCAGTTGTTTGGTGACGTGACAACAACAAAACAACAACAAACGATTGTGCTGGGTGCGCCCCGCTCCAAAATCCCCGGCCGCTCACGGGCCAACACCGGTGACGATTATCTGCACCGGTGCTGGGGCTCCCCTAGGTCGACTCGGCCTCAAACGAGTAACCGGTTTTAAGATGCGATGTCGCCACTGGGGGAGACGAAGGCGGCCGGGCGTGGTGCTGGCCACCCACCCCACTCGCCCTGTCATCATCAGCGCTGTTAGCAGCCACTTTGCCCTCCAAATAGTCCGTGTGAGGATATCCACTGCCCAATGAAAGCAGCCTCCGTCCGCCAAGCCCACCGCTGTCTTTCCCCGCGATTCTGCAGTTGTAACACTTTTAAAAGATTATTATTATTGCTGCTGCTGCAACAACAGAATAACATGGCACGCTCTCTAGACGAATAGATGTCGTCTCGGCTGATGGGCAGTAATGGAATTAATTCGTCTATCGATCGTGGTGAGGTATTAAGAAAATTGGTCACTGTGACTTCGCTCGGGCTGAAACTGTCAAAGGAACCCCGATAGATTACATCGTCTGTGAAGAGACGTGGGACTGTTTGCTCATATCATTTTATTATGAACAGTATAAACAATACGACCTTTTATAATCTCTGTTGGGGATGTTGTGTGGATGTGTGACTTTGAGTGGGGACTGTGTGTGTGTCTCAGGGTGAGTGGGGTTTGTGTGTCTTTGTGTGTGTGTGGGGATTGTGTGTGTGTGGCTCTGTGTGTGAGTGGGGATTGTGGTGTTGTGTGAGTGGGGATTGTGTGTGTGGCTCTGTGTGTGTGGGGATTGTGTGTTTGTGTGTGTGGCTCTGTGTGTGAGTGGGGATTGTGTGTGTGTGTGTCTCTGTGTGTGAGTGAGGATTGTGTGTGTGGCTCTGTGTGTGAGTGAGGATTGTGTGTGAGTGAGGATTGTGTGTGTGGTTCTGTGTGTGAGTGGGGATTGTGTGTGTGTGGCTCTGTGTGTGTGTGGGGATTGTGTGTGTGTCTCTGTGTGTGAGTGAGGAGTGTGTGTGTGTGGCTCTGTGTGAGTGAGGATTGTGTGTGAGTGAGGATTGTGTGTGAGTGAGGATTGTGTGTGTGGCTCTGTGTGTGAGTGGGGATTGTGTGTGTGTGGCTCTGTGTGTGAGTGGGGATTGTGTGTGGCTCTGTGTGTGTGTGTGGCTCTGTGTGTGTGTGTGGCTCTGTGTGTGAGTGAGGATTGTGTGTGTGTGGCTCTGTGTGTGTGGCTCTGTGTGTGTGTGGCTCTGGGTGTGAGTGGGTATTGTGTGTGTGTGGCTCTGTGTGTGAGTGGGGATCGTGTGTATCTGTGTGTGGCTCTACGTGTGAGTGGAGAGCGGTGGCTCAGTGGTTGGCTCGCTGTGCTACGAACCCAACGATGCGAGTTCCAATTCTCGCTCACGGGCCAACATCGGTGACGGACACCTGAAACGGTCTGGGCCTCATTTAGGTCGACTAAGCCTTAAAAAAAGAGTACCCGGTATAAATATCACCACTTGGGAGGCACAAAGGTGGCCAGGCGTGGTTCCAGCCTCGCCCACCCACCCCGTCATGCGCATGGACGGCCTTCAAAGTTGAGCCTACAGGGATGGATCTGTGACTTTGTGTACGGCGAGGTGGTGCGGGTAGGATCGGAGGTACGGGAGGGGGGGGGGGTGCAAAGATGTGGATCTTGTCGTTGTCTAGCTGCTTTGCACATTCTGTGTCGTGCGTTTCTGCTCGCCGCTTTCGTACTCTGCCTCGTTTTCTTCCATTTGTCGGAATGAATAAGGGATGAGCAGACGTGGGGAGGTGTGCTTGTGTGGGGGGGGGGGGGGTGCGGTGTGGGGTAAACATCGCCACTAGGGAGACAAAGGCGGTCGGGCGTGGTGCTGGCCACCCACCCCCTCGTGTACCGTTCTGGCCTTCACAGGTGCTCGTTAACAGCACTTGCCCCTACAGTCTGTTAAGGCTATCGGAGGATCTTTGTCTTTGTAGCAGTTAGCGCGTTGCGCTACGAACCTGGCGACCCAGGATCGATTCCCGCTCACGCACCAGTGACAGTTATCTGAACCGGTCCTGGGCCTCCCCTGGGTCGACTCAGCCTCAAATGAGTACCTGGTGCGGTGTGTAAACATCGTCACTGGGAAGACAAAGGCGGCCGCGCGTGGTATTGGCTTACCCACCCCCTCGTGTGCCGTGCCGGCCTTCACAGGTGCTCGCTAACAGCACTTGCCCCTACGGTCTGTTAAGGCTACACGGATGATCTTTGTCTTTCTCAGAGGGGGGTGGGTGGAACGTTCTGGTGTTCAGGGACCCGCCTCTGACACCTTTCACGATCGGGGGGCAGGGGGGGGGGTCAGAGGGGGGGGGGGCAGCGGGGGCGGCCTCCGGATTTCGCCGTCTCCGACCTCTCGCTCTGTGATGCATTCCGTTTGTCGCGGCCGCGTTGTCAGTTTGTAGTTGTTGTTTAGAAGCCGCACCTCATGCGCAGCGTCCCATTACCGGCGTGAATGCACCGCGCGCATTAAACGCGCATTGTGCCACTCACGTGGTACGGCGTCGTTGTCGGCGTCGTTTTTTTTTTAATCGCTTCATCACGGCGATTAAACTTTGGTTCTGCATACATTACGGGCCGTGCTGCTGCTGCCACCACCACTTTTTGTTTCGAAGTTGCATTGCATGGTGAAGAACGCAACTTGGAATGATAAATATCAGCTCTGGGGCGGGGTTTGTTTTGTTTTAAACGGCACCGTTCATTTGCATTCGATGGCGAAGAAATAAAAAAGCGAGCTGCGGTGACCGCTGCGCGACCACCCCCCCCCACCCCCCCCCGTGTCCTCCTCCGCGAGGGAGCTTGGGACAGCCCCCCACTCCCCTAGAGCCTGGGACGATCGAGAGCGACAAGAAACTGGGAAACGGGAGACGCAGGAAAAACAAACCAGGCCGGCAGTAGACTTTGCTGCGTGAGACGTTAGAGACGCGGGCTTGTTCGGTTCGGACGTGTAAATTAGACCGGAGGCCAACGAGTCCTCTGTTCCACTGGCACATCCGAGCCGAGACGGCACGGTACCCTCGCGATACACGGGTGGTGTTCCCCACTGGCTGTCCGCTGTGTCCGCGGCGGGAAAGGGACCGCGATACGATGTCCTCCTTGCGCGACATCTGAATGTGGCTCGGCGGTGGGGGAGTTACCAAGCAGGGGACAGCAGGAACAGCGCCAATTGACGCGGTCATTGCACGCGGCGTCAGCAGCAGGGGGCTCCGCTTCTGCGGTGGAAAAGCAACCTGGCGCGTTCTGAGCGCTGTGCCGGGCAGGTCCGGCACGGCCCTGGCACGGCTCGGTTTGTGCAGTGGGGGGGGAAAAAAAAATAGAGAGAACATTTTACCAGGAGTGGCCTTGGTACTGCGGTGTGTAAGAAGTAAAAGCCGGTTAACAGAGAGCTTCGCAGTGCCCCAGGGTGAAGAGATCGCGAGCGACCGGAGAGGAAAGAGGGAACGAGTTTGAAAAGTTGGTGCAGCCTCCGTCCGTCGTCCGCCACGTGGCGGCCGACGAGAAAGGGAGAGACAGGCAGAGGAAAGAGACGAGAGTGGCGTGCGGAGGTGGAGTCAACGTGGCCCCCCGCTAGCGCTAACCGCCTGTTCGGTCACGCTGCTCTCTGCTCTCTCTTCCTTAGCCGAAGCGCCGTCAACAAAACCCGTGCCGCTTGGCAACCGCGTGACACCCGCGTGACGGAGATCCTGGCACTTAAGCGCGCAATTCTCCGCGCGTCGCACGCTGACGTTTTAATCATTTTAATGACGAGAACTGCGCTTCACTTGAACTGGTTGGGTTTTTTTTTTAAATATATATTTCATGGATCTTGTCCGACTAGGGCAATGGAAAGATTGTCAGGCCTAATGATGACGGAGTGATGGTAATGAACAAAAAAAATTTGTAATGCTTTTTTTTTCATGGGCCCCCTCTTTTCATACAGATACAGTCCTTGCCTTGTCTATAAACACCAATGCAGGTCACTGGCATCGGTTCAAGCAAGCAAGCCTGACTGCTCATGAGACACTGAATTTCGAAACCGCACAGTTCGCTTGTGCATTGCAGTGTAGGCAGCTAAAGACGCGCTCCCGGAAGCCTGCTCGGCCGAATGGTTACGTGATGCATTCTGTTCTCGACATTCTCAAGGGCGGCGCTCGTGATGTCGCGTTCAGATATGTCGCAGCAATGGATTGTGGGGGGGGGGGGGGGGGGGGGGTGGTCAAGATGGACAACGGAGTGGTGGCCCAAGGAGGGAGCACGCTCGAGAGGATGTCCCCCGTGGAGACGGAGCGATGAGAGCCGCTCCACGTGATGGACCGGAATGGATTGCTGCATCGCAGGATTCTTAAGAGATGGCGTTGGAAGGTCTTCACCTAGCGATGGGTAGATGATGGTTGATGGTTTATGCAAGAAAGGCATAAACCATCAACTGCAGGTGTAACGGCGTATCGCTTCGTGGATGATAATCATATCTTAAGCTCGGCACCTTCCAAGTCGTCTGGCCGGCGTGGAAGAGTAGGCCAAAATACCTTCCAATGAGGCTGTCTATCGTGGCTTCTAGTGGAGGCCTTTTCTGCCGGCAGTGATGCGAGCAAGAAATTGCAAGGCTGCGCCTTTGCCTTAATCTCACGGTACCGTGCATCACGCCACGCGGGGTGGGAATCCATCGTTTGAAGAGATCCCTCAGTCTCGAGTCGATCGCGACCCACTGAATTGCAACAATTCGTCGTCCTCTCTCGTCTCAATCGGCACCGTCACACAAATATAAATAAGATCGCCATCCCGAGCCCTCGTCATCCCGAGCCCTGTGTGGGGGGCCGCGACGCTTCGTGGGCATTCAAAGGAGCAAGCGGTTCTGGGCAGTGTCACAAATCGGCCATCGGAGGGAGAGACTGAAAACCCATTCGCTTTAGAACTGCTTTTTTGCGTTTAGGTTGTTGTCATTTCCCCCCCCCTCCCCCAGCCACCTCCGATTAGCACGGCTGGCTACGTACGGTGCAAAAGAAGTTCGACATCCGTGATGCCGCGATATGGGATCTGCGTAATGTACGTGCTCACCTACGACGCCGTTACGATGAAGGTGAGCTCATTATAAGACGCTTCACCACGCGTGAGTTTATCGGGGCGCTGCGGTGGCGAGATTGCAAGGGAGGGGGATGGTGGGAGGGGGGCGGGGGGAGGGGGGCGGGGGGCGGGGGGAAGGGGAGGGGGCGGTGGGAGGGGGCGGGGGGAAGGGGAGGGGGGTGTGGGAGGGGTCCGCACCCTTGCTGCTGAAGTCGTCGATGAGCACCAGCTCTGCGAGGTAGCGCGCCGGCGTGCGCTTCACGACGCTGTGCACGGTGCGCAGCAGCGTGGACCAGCCCTCGTTGTGGAACACGATGACCACGCTCGCCGGCGGCAGCGCCTCGTCGTAGTGCCAGTACTTGCACCTGCCCCGGTTACAATGCGTGGTACATTGCAGTGCAATACAACGTGTTACATTGCGTTACATTCCGTTGCACTGCAATGCAAAACAACGTGTTACATTACGTTACATTGCAATGCAATACAACGTGTTACATTGCGTTACATTGCAATGCAATACAACGTGTTACATTGCGTTACATTCCGTTGCACTGCAATGCAAAACAACGTGTTACATTACGTTACATTGCAATGCAATACAACGTGTTACATTGCGTTACATTGCAATGCAATACAACGTGTTACATTGCGTTGCACTGCAATGCAAAACAACGTGTTACATTACGTTACATTGCAATGCAAAACAACGCGTTACACTGCGTTACATTGCAGTGCAATACAACGTGTTACATTGCGTTACATTCCGTTGCACTGCAATGCAATACAACGTGTTACATTGCGTTACATTGCAATGCAAAACAACGTGTTACATTGCAATGCAAAACAACGTATTACATTGCGTTACATTGCAATACAACGTTTTACATTGCGTTACATTGCAATGCAATAATGTTACATTGCGTTACATTGCAATGCAATACAACGTGTTAAATTGCGTTACATTGCAATGCAATACAATGCATTGCATTCCAATGTAATGCAATACAACGCATGCCATTACTTGCACCTGTCCGGGTCTGGGTTACAATGCAAAACGTTACAACGCAATGCATAATGGTGCAATGCAATGGAACAACATTACGCAATGATACAATAGAACGATCGCTGCGTGACGGTGCCAGGCGACGTCGTGAGTCCACCGCGCTGGGAAGGCCCCGGCAGTGAACTTGGGAACATCGAGACTCCAAGAAACTGCCTCCACCACCCTCCGCCATCCCCACCACCACCTCCACCGACCCAACCACCCCCTACCACCACAACCACCCCCACCTCCACCGACCACCACAACCGCCCCCCACCGCCGCCACTCACTCGTCGTGCCGCAGGTCTGCGATGCTGCGGTCGAGCGAGATGGCGTCGCTGGCCACCATGTTGAAGCCGAACTCGCGCACGGAGTCGCGCACGGCGGCGCGCTGCTCCTCGCGGGGGGCCACGGCACGCGAGGCCTCGCCGGGGCCCCCCGGCACGCCGGGGGCCTCGCGCTCCCGCGGCTCCAGGTTCCCCGGCGAGCCCGGCCGCAGCTCAGGCAGCGGCGACGACCTGGTCTGGGGCTTGAACGTGACGCGGCGCTCCGGGGCCACGGCCGCTGTTTGGGACACGAGAGGGGGAGCGGCGAGAGAGAGAGAGAGCGCAGAGAGAGCAGAGGTCGTTGTTGTTATTAGCCTCAAGGTTCTCTTTTGAGGAGGGTCCTGCCACGTATTCGCAGTGGCGGGGGTGGGGGGGGCGATGATGCTGCTACTTTGTACTCATCAATAAGTACCAATGACCAAGTACCTATCAGACCTATGACGTCGTCAATAAGGTCCTATGACGTCGTCAATGAGTACCTATCAAAGGACCCATGAATAAGTACCCATCACGTAAAATGAAAGTTGCGTGGTAAATCGATCGGGCTGAACTGTGGGACAATCATCAGTTGATGGCCGAATCACCACATATACACAGTACGTATCTTCCTGCTCGCATCTCATTCGCCGAGCCATCGCTGTCCATCCTTGCGCCGGCAACTCGGTGAGCCAAACGCAAAATAAAACAACGCGAGCCTCCGCGCACGCGAGCTTCCTTCCTGCGGGGACGACGTCAAAGGTCCACCGTCGAGGTTCACGACGAAGTCGATCCCGACGATGGCCATGATGGCGACGATGGCCATGATGGCGACGATGGCCATGATGGTGACGATGGCCATGATGGTGACGATGGCCATGATGGTGACGATAGCCATGATGGTGACGATGGCCATGATGATGACCATAGCCATGTTGGTGACGATGGCCATGATGGTGACGATGGCTATGATGGTGACGATGGCCATGATGGTGACGATGGCCATGATGGTGACGATGGCCATGATGGTGACGATGGCTATGATGGTGACGATGGCTATGATGGTGACGATGGCTATGATGGTGACGATGGCCATGATGGCGACGATGGCCATGATGGTGACGGTGGCCATGATGGTGACGATGGCCATGATGGTGACGATGGCCATGATGGTGACGATGGCCATGATGGTGACGATGGCCATGATGGTGACGATGGCCATGATGGTGACGATGGCCATGATGGTGACGATGGCCATGATGGTGACGATGGCCATGATGGTGACGATGGCCATGATGGTGACGATGGCTATGATGGTGACGATGGCCATGATGGTGACCATAGCCATGATGGTGACGATGGCCATGATGGTGACGATGGCCATGATGGTGACGATGGCCATGATGGTGACGATGCCTGATGATGACGATGGCCATGATGATGACGATGGCCATGATGGTGACGATGGCCATGATGGTGACCCATAGCCATGATAGTGACGATGGCCAATGATGGTGACGATGGCCATGATGGTGACGATGGCCATGATGGTGACGATGGCCATGATGGTGACGATGGCCATGATGACTGACGATGGTGATGATGGCGATGATGGCTCGGACAAGGGCGGACAATGCCCGTCAATGGCCGTGTGCTGCGGACAGTCGAGACGACAGCACCTTTGTAGTCGTCGTCGTCGTCAGTCATCGTCGGCGATGTCCGCATCCCGCTCGGGCAGCAGCTCGAGTTTGCCGGGCGGAGGCCGTGGCTCGGCTGTCACCCGCCGCCGTCCGCGCGTCGTTCGCCGCCGCGTCGTTCGCCTCCTCCTGGGGCCACGGCGCGACGGGGTGGAAGCGCCGCGCGGGGCGCGAGTCCGCCTGCTGCACGACACAACCGCCACCGTTGTCGTCACCGCCACCGTCATCGTCGTCCTCGTCGTCCTCGTCGTCGTCACGATCCGTGATGGGCAGATAGCCCCGTAGGTGCCCACTGCACATTTCGCAGAATTTTGTTGTTTCCACTTTCCTCCCTCTGTCTTGCGAGGAGGTCGACACGCGCTCGCGCGACCACAGTCGACCGCCCCGCTGCACGGGACGGAGAACACGCGCACGACGGCGGTGCAGAGAGGGCCAATCCACACCGCCCCACGCCCCACTCATCACCGGATAGTTCACCTGCTGGATGAGACGGGATACGGGCAGCGCGGGGAGGGAGGTGGCGGTGGCCAGGGTTTGGTGGATCCCCCGCACGAACGTTGTGAAACTCCCTTCCCAAGGGCGCCGTGACGGAGGAAGTGCCCGTTCCTCTGGCTCTCCAGAAAAACTGTGGATTCCGCCCGTGCTGTCTGTACGGGATAGAGTGTTGTCCCCCTCGCACGCGTGCGTGTTCTCCGGGTGCTCCGGTTTCCTCCCCCCATGTAAACACTCATTGAGTGGCCGATGACACCTTTATATGTAGAGGACTGCAGTTCTTGGGAGAGGGGTGTGGGGGGGGAATTTTGCACTGGCTCAGCACGTGGCTTGCTGCCTTCCCGCTCGTCTGTGGTTCCTGTTCACGGCTCCGAGTCGCACCCCTCAACGGCGAGTGGACACCGTGCTGCGGCGGTGCGTTACGAGTTCAGGTAACTGTTACTCAATAAATAGGATTATTATTGTTATTATTATTATACACTGCAAGCACCCAATCCTCCGCCTGTGCCTCCCACATCCCCCTCAGGAGATTCGTGAGTGACGGTCGCAGGGACGTTTGCCACGCGGCAAGATGTGATACGAGTGGCATTGTTGGACGAACATTTTTTTTTTTTACCCAAGATCCGAGCAATTCCCCACTTGTGAAAGGTGTCGTTCGGCCGCCGATTGACTGGGCGACTCCTCTTAAGCCGAGAAAAGATCGCACGGCACAGCGGTGGATTTCACGCAGCGTCTGCGTGTAACCGCGTCTCGGGACGGGAACAGGAACGGCGGGCCCGTTT